TTAGTTTAGTGCTTTACTGAGATTCTTGTGTGATTGGCTTAGTAGCTCAGACTGAAAATAAAGCATTTGCATTGGTGGAGCACTTGAAGTAAAAATAACACTACATAGGATTTCAGCAGGCTGAATTGCATACTCTTTGCCTATGAATTCCTAAAAAAGCACTTATCAAAACGAAAGCTGGGAAGGGGCAGTATTTTGAATGTATCTCTTCTAACCTCTGTCTCCTACATGATAATAATTGCAGAGTCTGATGATTGAGCAAAGTAATTGCCAAAGTAACGAAAGCATATCTTCCCAGTTTATATTCCAGAGAGTGGGAACTGAGAAGTGAGGGCTATGGGATATGGAGAGGTTGAGGAGGTTCAGAATCTTCAGTGAGTAGGTGTGGCAGTGTAACCAAATGGACATGCAATACGTATGGCATATTAAAAGAAAGTGAGGACTGGATTGCAGTCATGCTTGTCATCTTGATTTAAAAATAAACAAACAAACACCCCAAGGATGTCCAAGTTCCCTTTTGGCAGGTTATTTGTTCCAGACTTGCCTATAGTCTGCCTATATGATATTTCCTGTGGTCTTGCATTCAAATATTAACCAGGTTTAGCCTTGATGAGCTTTGATGTGCTAAGCTGAACCAGGTTTGAAGGATTCCCAAGAGAACATGTATTTATTATTACATTATAATACATTAGTATTTATTTATTAGAATGTGCATTATCTTGTATTTAGAGTCTACATGTCAATTTTTAAGACAATGCTATTTCCTATTGATGGAAAATTCAATGCTGTTCAGGCTGCCATGTTTGTTCACTTTTTACCTAAGCTCCAGCATGTCTTACAAAATGTACCATACAAGGTATATAATGCACACAATATGTATCATGATGAAAATACCAATATAGCCGTAGTTGCTCAGATAGCCATAAGTGAGGCTTCATAGAATTTATGGAGGAGTATTAGGCTTCTATCACCTGAATGTCTCTGTGTGTCTTCATCATTTCATTAATAGCAGCTCCAGATCAGAGTTGCTACAGTACTGTGGCATCTGCTGAGGAAATATTACAGTGCCTAAACAAACCGTGGAAGAGCTTAATGCTTGACCCTGTAGGGCAAGCTTTTTTATTTGTCCCCGGAGGCAGAATTCTATGCATGTGATCAGAATTAAATTGAAATTCTCTTGAGAAGAAAAATAGTCTGAGAATATGAAGCCATAGGATAAAATTCTGGTTGGATCTAATAAAGGGGAGGCTAGGTGAATGTGATTCAGAACACAAGAGATTTGAATGTAGTAGCTTCTTACACATTTTAGTCTGCATAACCTTCCCAGGGTCCAATACTAGAAGCTATCTGAGGTAAGGTGCATCCCTGTTCTTCCATGCCTTTTTAAATTCATATCTTGTATTTTAAATTCTATACTTCCTTTATTACTTGCATTTTAAACATTAGAAACATCAATTTCTGCCTAATGTTCCAAGAAAAATTAATGAACCCAAGAACCTCACTGAATTAAAGACAAATGCATTGCTAAAGATTATTGCAATTTCTTTCTGATGTCATGATTATACAGTTATGGCCCATTAAAAATCCAAGGCATTGTTTTTCTTTTCTTTTAGCCATTGCATCTCCTGAATTATGGCTTTTTTTGTCCCTGAAGTATCAGCAAGAAATGGAATACTAGGTATTTTGAGGGTGCACTCAATGTTTCCTTTAGGTTTTATCATACTCAGAATTCTAAGTAACTGACTTGTTAGTATTTGAAGATTTTTCTTATACCAAGTTTCCTATAGACCATATTTATTGAGCACTTTATTCAAAGGAGAAGAAGAAGAAATTGTTTGGCCAGAATCTGAAGCTGCTAATGATTCAATAAATGCACAACACTGATTTATTTCCTTCTCCTATAACTGCTCTTCCTGCGTTATCAAATTATGCTCTGTAGGATTTGCATTCTGCAATAAATTGCAGCGAAAAGACTTTGTATCACCTTATTTAAATGTTCAATAGGATTAAACAGTGAAATGCAAATACAAATCAGTTAATTTCATGATATTGCACCAATACATTTTTAAAAATAACAACAAATGGAGAAAAATTGGATGCAAACTGGTGTAGAATAAAGAGCAAGGAGTTTGGTCTTGAAAGGAAAAGGATTTTGGCTGAAACACGACTGCCACAGGGATTAATGGGTTGATAGTGAAGCAGTTACTCAGTAACCTTGTGATAGGATGATGGGTAATATAGAAGCACCTTAACCATTATTTTGCCAAATTACAGGTAAACTTGGATTTCATCATGTGTACCTAGCTTGGAGATTATTTATAACATCATAATTCAAAATGTAAGGGAAATCTAATTTTTCAATAGCCCATCTTTATACTAAGGACCATTACTTCAATTTGCATTGGGTTTGGCTGGAACAAACTTAATGCAGTTATGGTTGTATGGATCATATGGTTGCTGAGAACAGAAAATTATTAATTACATAATGTGGTTCTTCACAGATTAAATGGCCTTTCTAGCACTGGAGAATAGCAAATCAAGTTTACGTTGATGAAAAATAGGTGTTATAAGGAGACCTCTACTGACATTATGGGATCTTTAATTAAGCACTGAAAGGGGGATTAAAAATGGAATTTCCATTATCCAATTGTACATTGTCAAAAGGAAGTTCATAATTTACTTCGGTGGTAATAATTTATAGAGGCCAATAGCATGACCATAGCTGGATTTTTGATAAGATTTTTGCCTTTATTTAACACAGCAACATTTGACACAGAGGCTATTTCTTTTGAAGAAAATGGCGTAAGTAGGACACCTTAGAAAAGTTCTTGATACAGGAATGCTATGAGGACAATATTGAATATTAGAATACATAGCACTGAACCTCAGTATAGTATATAAAACAAAGGAGATTATGGGTGGAGTATCAAAAGGAAAAAAGCAGCCTGGTTTATAGCACTGCACTACTTTATAGCACCAGAGAGTGAAGAGTCAATCTGCCATAAACCTTCTTCCAGTTAACTCTCAAAAAGTTTTTACATGTCCTAAAATATAAGCAGCAAATAAAGTAAGTTGATGTGTTATTATAATTAGTTTCAGTGATTTACTGTTTCTGGAATACAAAATTGTGTGCTTTATTATTTATACATTATACTGATTTATGTAACCTTGACCCTGGCGGCAAACATTGGACTAAAATCAACAGAAAACAAATAGGTGATGTATATTACCTATTTGTAAGCTTCATATAATTAAAATTAAGGGTGGTTACTATCCTGGTTTTCTGCAGATAAAATCTATTCTCTCTCTCTTGATGAGTATTTGTATTTAGCATGAGACTGCAATCTTTTGGTTTTGGCCTGTTCGAGCATCTTTTATGGTGGAACTGAAGGCCAGAATCTATGTCTATACAGTAATTCAAAGTCTCATGATTGTCAGAATCCTACCAAATTCCAATCAAGAAATTAAATATTGAATTCAACCTATTAAATTAATCCAGTCTTTACACTAAAAATGTAGTTTTACAAGTGCTGTGTCAGTTTTTCTCTTGCAAACAGCATTAAAACTAAGACCTTGACTGTGCGCTGGTCTTTGACAAGTGATGAGTGTGCAGTATAGTAGAGATCATGGCTCCACTTTCTTCAGGCTACTGTTGGATATTCATCCTCTATCCTCCCTCGTGAGTGGAGTAGCATCTATAACTGAATTTAGGGAACTCTTGATTAGAAAGGGTTTTTTTTGGTGCATAGCTTTTAAGTTCAGTTTAGTTTACTTGGGCTTTCGTGGTCCCTGTTGATATGTCCCACTTTTACAAATTTGAAGGTTTTGGATGTTTTTGCCCTCTGCTGGTGGCAGTGGATCAGATAGTGCTTTGGTAGGATATTCTAGTGGTAGGTGTGGTGTAGCCTCTGTGTTAATCCTGTTTAGATTTCCTCCCACCTTACAAATATCTTAGGATGGTTGTATTGTCCTGTTTTCACATCATCAAGAGGTTTGCCAGCTTCTGAACCATCTAATATCTTAAGTCCCATTAGAATGACTTCATCATAAATCTGGTCAGATAGATCGGTCATGAATTGTTTAAATGTTAATGACTTAATGACCTTGACTATATTGGCTCCCATATACTTGCATCAGGTATTTTATATTCTTATAACTTTGTGAGCAAATGGGCAATTCCACTACAATGTCCAGAACTTTGTTTTATACTTTCTGATGCCAGTCCTATCTATGATTTCACCACAGTCTTGAAAAGTGCAGTTTCTTACAGCAGCCAAACCATAGGACAGTCAGCTTGGAACATAGTCTCAAAAATGTGTATACTAAGTTTTCCCTGACTTTTTAGGCATGAATCTTCAAAATACTCTAGAAGTGGCCTGCATCCCTACTTTCCCTGTATTCTCAAAACTTTTCTATTGACACTTCTGGGAGTATTGGACTGGTTGCAGAGGATACTTTACACTTCAGTTTGTTTCTAACTAACTGGCATGGTTAATTCTTCCCCAGTTTAACTTTTAATTTTTCTTATAGCTCCATTATTTTAATTTTCTCCTCTTTCTTCTATTCTATCCTCTTAAATTCCATCTCAGCTTGTACTTCTCATGTCCTGAGCTCAAGCAGATAGATGGATCCCATTGAGTGCTTGAGATGACTTCTGTAGTCTTTGGCACAAGTCTTGGAATCTAACAATCTGCAAAATATCTTCTAATAGCTGCTCAAGAGAAGTGTATCCCCATTTTTCAGTAGCATGCAAGGGTTTTTCTGCCCCTTAACACTAACCTAAACATCCTGTCAAATTTGAAAGTTTCCGTGTCACCACCTATTTTCTAGGCAGTGTCTCTTTTGATGTCCTCCCCCTAAACTCAGTCTTATGAGAATGGTAAATAAGAGACAACATGGAAAAAATGTTTAATTTCTACAATACATCTTGTAATACAAGTTGAGTGTGACTATTGGCTCCAATCTTTCCCACTGCTTTTGGGCGATAAATCACAACAAAGTTAAAAAAAGATGTTTATTTAAGTAACTCAAAAGATATATGAATTTGATCTACAAAAACACATTCAATACTCTGAGCAAACACAATCGTCCCAGTCGACTATAATTAGAGATATTGAGAAAGAGATGGTTTTGAAAATTTGTCATCATCCTAGACATTAAATAAATCTTAAATTCAGTCTGAAATTACTCAGAATGTCCTAAGTATGCAGAAATAAAGAAGGGGAGAGAACAAGGCTTTTAAATCAGGCAGAATAAATTAAAACATTGCAATGACTTAACTAGAGCAATTACAGTACTGATTTCTGTAACAAAGGATTTAAAATAATCTGAATCCTGCTGGGGTGATTCAGAACACTCTATTTATTTTCCTAGTTTAGATACGGAAACCTCTTGCTTCACAAGTCTGGAATTCTGTTTTTGTCTTTTAAAAGAATAGAGCTTTTCTGTGTCTATGAGAGGAGTTGAGGAATCACCAAGCACATCTGGTAAAGTGCATGCAGCCAAAAGGCTTATATTCAAATTCAGATGCTATCTTAACAATTAAACAGGCAGAAAGACTCTATATTATGAACACAGGATGATTATTCACAAGAAAAGCTATTCCCCAACACATATGCATACATCTATGATAATTTGGGATCTCCCTCCTTGTTTATTCTGTGTACCCATAGTTCTAAATCTACAGCATCCAGTTTTAAATGTCATTTAAAAAAGTCAAAATTATACAATTCTTAGTGTATAGAAATGTATACAATACACTTCTACAGATCATCTGAAATTATCTGAGCAGTCAGATTCAGACTTTCTACACAGAGTTCAATATCTGGAATGTAGAATTTTATTATGAATTCAGAAGATAATAGTTAATACATTTTGGGGGGAAATCATGGGAGAAAAAGTGCACAATTACTTCTTTAGAATATGTTGTATAATAATCATGTTCTGCTTCCACCGATGAATAAAGTCTCCAATTCAGCAGTTGCAGGATCCACTGAATCAACCTCTTCTTTAAAGAAGTCTTCTTCAAGTTTCTTCCACCAGGGCCACTGCATATATTTTAATATTGTATTATGGGATTGTTTGGCTTTAGCTACCACAGGAACTGATCTGCTCATAAAGACATTCAGATCCTTCATGGTACATTCTGAGAGACTTGGAGCACCTATGGCAAAAATACATGTCATTCTTTAAAAGACTTGGTTAACCTTCTCTATATTTGCAGTTTTTATCATCTTGTTTTCAAAGTAGCATCCTACAGTGATGCAATAGGAAATACATATAGGAGCAATGCAGCTAAAGTACACCGAAGCAAGTTCTAACAAGTAAAGTGCATACTACATAACACTTGTGAAAGGAAAGAAACCAAAGACAACAGAGGGAAGCATGTAAGGGTGAGAAATTAGTGGTTGTCCAGATCAAAAGATGATAAATAAAAATCATAATGTTTTTTCTTGGCAGTTTGAAGTAAGGTTGTATATAAATAAGATTGAATGTATAAGAGTTTATGTCTAACATATGTAATTTGCTATCATAAGATTCATTTATGATCGCAACTTGCTTTAAAAGATTAGAACAAACTACATTTAATCTGAAACTAATTTTTCAGGTTTTAGAGCCCAATTGAATTTTATCAGCAAATCCTTTAAAAGTATAGTACATTTTACTACTTATTTTGTGGTAGAAAACAATAAAAAGCTCTCCCCCTGCCCCGATTATTTATTATGTTTTATCTTAGATGAAAATATGCTATGTTATAAGTATATGGTTTGGAAGTAGAGATCAAATTTAGGGAAGACTGAAAATGATAGAAGCAAAACTATAACCAACATTTTAAAAGGCAAGTCTATTCACTCCTGAAGAACTAAACAACATTGGTTATATTACAGGCTAAAATTTCTACATGGAAGCAATTGTCAAGGATGGGACTAATAACAGAGAGCATGTGTTGACAGGTAATATAATAACAGAGTGGGCCAAAACTGACCATAAATTATTCTCATGGGGAAAGTATCACTTGAATTTTCTAACACAAAAAGCCTCTAGTGTTGTTTCTGAAGAATATTGTGGAAAATATTAGACATACTGAACTAGCAGAAATGGCAAAATTAATTTGTTTGATTAGAGAAAGATCAATAATTACATTTACTAATGACTGGGAAGCCCTTGTAGACATATTACTAAAAAAAGAAAAGAACTTATAATTTATTGGTTTGAACTTAGAAAAATTTAGGGACAGAAATAGAAATAGTTTAGGGACAGAACAAAATTATGATATAACCTGGGAGAGAGCGAGGGTAAAATATATCTATAAATGTTGCTGTCAAGAAGATTGGAAACAGCTTCTTTATAATCTTTCCTTTTCCAGTTCTTTATATATATATATATATAAAATATACAAATGTATGTATGTATCATATATGTATGTGTTTACATACATTACATACATACAATACATACATACAATACATAATATAAATTTATTTATATCCTGCTTTTATTGTTTTACAAATAACTCAAGGAGGTAAACATATCCAACACACCTTCCTCCTCCTATTTTCTACAACAACCCTGTGAAGTGAGTTGGGCTGAAAGGGAGTGAGTGGCCCAAAGTCCAGCTGGCTTTCAGGGCCATCAGGTTCAGCATACACCAAGGTGATGCACTGCTCCTGTTGCTGTTCTGTCTATCAGCCAGATAATCACAAGGACTGGATACAGATACATGTGCCAGAATGGAACTACCACTCTGCTAAATAAATGAAAGATGTATCTATGGGTCCTCTAGTCTCCTCCAGAATAAGAGTGCTAAGATCATATGCGTGTGATCATGTGTTTATGAAAACATTAGAACAGCTCAAAACTGCAAACTGAAAGCATATGATATATTTGCCAAAATGTTCATGGTAATTCTTTCAGCACCTCCATATGCATGGGTAGGATAATGGTCAATGTGAAAAATAGAATTTTAGAACCATAATACTTAAGCATCAACAGGCTATGTGAATTCATAATTTACACAGGAATGATGATCTCTGAAGAAAATTCAAGCTGGGTGAAGTAGTGTCTACTTGAATAATTCAGGTGTGATATTAATCAGCATTCACCACATCAGAGCTAACCTGGGAAGACAATCAATGCAAAACCAAAATAAGATAAGACACATACTTAACAATTGATCCACATCTGTGTGAACTTGGGCTAGCAAAGCCTCTCGATGTTGTTTTGCTTTCTGATCTTTTCTTTTTCTCAGCATATAGTGGGCTAGTTTTTCCTGGGCTTGATGATGAAGTTCTCTGCTCATTTCTTCTGACATTGCAGAAGCCTGGAGAAAAATTACAGTCTCTGTCACCATTAACAGTTATCAGCTTCAAACCTTTGTAAGGGTCTGCAGGACAACATTTGCATTCCTTGGGAACTGGTGAATCTAATCACTGTGCTTCTATGTTTTCTCTCTGAAGCCACTGATCCATCACTGAATTAATTTCGTTTCTTAATTAAGGTTCAGGAAGAAGCAACTTCCTATTATTAGATTAAAGAAAAGACCCAAACAACCCTACCAAATATTTTATGTTTCCCATATCAAATAAAAGCAAAGCAGGTTATCCATGGCATAGTTTCAGTTTATATAGCTATAAAAATTTACAGATTATTGGCATGTTTTATTAGGTAAAGGGAATAGAATTAAAGAAAATATGTACATGGATTATAACTTCAAGATTTGAAGACAATGCTGTAAAGCTATTACAGGTAGTCCTCAAGTTATGACTGTAATGGAGCCTGCCTATCATGGTAGTAACTCTTGATAGCTGTAAAATGGGTCAATCACATGACCAACCTGATTTTACAAAGTTTTTTGTAAAGGTCATTAAGCAAATCACAGTGGTCATCAACTGAATGTGGCCCTTAAGTGAATCAATGGTCTACTATGGGTGCGGAAACCAGATGTAAATGCCAGTTTTCAGCAAAACTATTTAAAATGTAGTCATATGACTGTGGGATGCTTCAAAGGCCCAAAGCTTCTTGGATGAGAAGCAAAACATCTTCTTCTTCTTCCTCAAGGAAAAAACAGTCCAGTTGCCTTTTGAAGAAAAAAACACTTTTGAGACCATCCAGGGGATAGGGATGTAATGATGACTTACTGGGTGCAATTTGATATAGCTTTCCACCTTTTGCTGCAATGATATCCTCTGTTCATCTGAAAGAGATTCAGGCTGTTTCCAGAGAGAATATGCCTTTCTTCTTTTCTTTTCCAAGAATTTAAGCACCTTATTGAAACAAAATATTAATAAAAAGTGTCAACCCTTTACAGAATCTTAATATTTACGTAGGTCAGGTTCATGGAATACCTTCTCAGTGAGCATGGAAATTTTAGAAAACGAAATGTTACATCAATGCTATTTTCAATGCAAGACCAATCCTGATGGATCACATTTAAACAGCTACGTATGTTAGAACATTTTTAGTGTATCTTCCTAAAACAACTGCCATATCCTGGACCCAGCAGTTTTCTCCATACCCTCTTCACGCACGGGAAAGGAGATGGATCCTGTAATGCTGGCCATGAGCCCTAATCCTCCATGAATGACACTCATTCTTTACAACTCATTCTAGTAAGTCCTGAAATTGAACTGGTGGGAAAACATTAGAGCTGCAGATGCAGCTAATGTTGCGCCTTCACGTTTTAAAAAAGACATCAAGAAGGGACTTATTTGAACCATAAAGTAATTACAGAGATTAGATTTAGAATTGCCACTTATTACTGGGTTGAAGAAGAAATATTAAATTTAGGGTTTTCTTTGGTCAACACACTATGTAGGAAGTCCATAAATCCATAAAAAAAAAAGAATATCCTTGGTAAAAGATATCAAGAATCAATGTACCTCAGTATTTTCTTTGCTAATTAGTATCTACAGCAGCATTTTTGCCTTGGTAGTACAGTGGTCTAAAGCACCCTGTTATTAAGAACAGCTGCCTGCAATTACTGCAGGTTCGAAACTCGCCAAGGCTAAAGGTTGACTCAGCCTTCCATCCTTTCTAAGGTAGGTAAATTGAGGACCCAGTTGTGGGGGCAATAAGCTGACTTTGTATAAATATACAAAAGAATGAAGGCTATTGCTTAACGCATTGTAAGCCGCCCTGAGTCTCCGGAGAAGGGCGGCATATAAATCAAATTAAAAAAAAAAAAAGTTGTGACAAAATCACAGGGTTTTTTTTCCCCCCTCTTGAACCTTTTTTTCAGGCAGATAAAACTAGAACAAGATTTACTTCAATAATGACAGCCTGGTTCAAGCCACTTAATTTAGAGCATCACTGACGTAAGGAATAATTTGACTAACTGGTAGCAAGATTACAAAAACAGGAATAGTTTTAAATATGCTATTTAAATACTGTTCCAATGTAAGTCTTGCAGACCAGACCTTCTGAAACATTGCTTTTAATAAAGTACTTAGATTTTTGTAGACAGCAGTGTTCCATGAACATCTTAATTTACAAATTTAAATTAGAAGATGCAGGGGAGGTCCTGAATTTGAAATGTTTTTTTTTTTAATATACTGATGCAAAATGTTTTGTATCATACCAACAGTTGATTTACATACTGACCGCTCTCTGAATGAGGACAGCTGCTTTATATTCCTTGAGATTTCTTTTTTGCTGATGAAAATTTCTCCTTGCTTTAAATGCTCTCCAGTATCTTTGGATGGTTAGGGCTGCTTTCTCTTTCATTTCATGCATATGCTTATCTATTTGACCTGGGAGATAAAGAGCATATATTCATTATTAGAAAATCAGAATTCACACAAGCAGAGATTTGAATTTCATTCCAGCTAGATTAAAAATGCAGAAGAGAAACCATACAGGGTTAGAGTAAAACATTTTTTTAAAACAGAAAACCACTATAGTTACTTGCACCATCATTTTGTAGACCATAGCCATCTAGGCAAAGCAAGCTTATCTGCTACCTCATGGATATGCACAATATGACATCACAGAATTGATATAGCCCCCCAATTTGTACTCCACCCAGAGATTGCAACTGAATTCTAAGTTTTAATACGACAGGACCGCAAATATTATAACATGATTATTACAGATGTGATTTCATTTATAATACCTAAATATTTGATAATACATTATTATTGTGCTAGCCCCATCCTCTATTTGTGCATTATATAGATGTTATACCAAATACAACATGTACTGTATGATTCATATACATTTTAATGCACCTATCCTGAATTATGCCTTTGTTAGTCAACTTTTTACTACACATTTTGCCCTATTCCTTTGATAATAGATCCATCATAAATTATAAAAGTCCTTTAAAGCAGTGGTCACCAACCAGTGATCTGTGAGAAAATTACGGTGGTCCGCGGCGCACCTGGGTGGAGGAGCTGCTCCAGGATGAGAAATGGCCAGTCCTGTGACTAGAGCTCTGGAATATTGGCTAGGCAGCTCATGGTGGGGCTGTAAATCTCCACTGTAGAGGGAGGTTTGTGCAACTTGCAACTCAGCCCTCGCCAGCTGGAATGAGGTAATGGTGCAGGTGGGTCGAAGCAACGGGTGGCGGCAACCCCGGGCTGTTTCTTCCCCCTGTTGTGGCTTCTTGTCTTCTGAACCCACCAGTGGCTGTCCCTGCCCCTCGCCCTCCCTTCCCAGTTACTCCTCGCCTGGCAAGGGAAGGGCAAGGGATGGAGATTTGCTCCATATTCCAGAGCGGGAGTGAAGCTTCGTCTCTTGCTGGATCTCGCAGCCATTTCTTCTGGCCCTTGTTGGTGCTCCGTGCACCTTGGTCTCTCGGGGAGATACTTGACTTCCTCTCAGCCCCAAGATACTGGCTGGTCCATGAGATGAGAGAGAGAAAGAGAAAGAGAATGACAGAGAGAAAATCAGAGAGAATGAAAGAGAGAGAGAGAATGAGAAAGTGGGAGAGAGTGAAAGAAAGAAAGAAAGAGGGGGAGAGAGATGAGAGAAAGATGGGGAAAGAGAAAGAATGAAAGAGTGAGAGAGAGAGAGAATGACAGAGAATCAGAGAATGAGAGAGAGAGAGAGAGAATGAGGAAGAATCAGAATGAGACACACAGAGAGAAAGAGACAGAGAATAAAAGAGAAAAAGAGAAAGAGAGAATCAGAGAATCAGAATGAGAAAGAATGAGAGAGAAAGAGACAGAGAATGAAAGAGAGAGAATCAGAGAGAGAATGTGGGAGAGAGAAAGAGAGATGAGAGAAAGGGGGAGAGAGATGAGAGAAAGAAAGAGTGGGTGAGAGAGAGAGAATGAAAGAGAATCAGAGAGAATGAGACAATCAGAATGAGACACAGAGAGAAAGAGACAGAATGAAAGAGAGAGAGAATGTGAGAGAAAGAGAATCAGAGAGAGAATGAGAGTGAGAGAAAGAGACAGAGAATGAAAGAGAGGGAATCAGAGAGAGAGAGAGAAAGACAGAATGAAAGAGAGAATCAGAGAGAGATTCGTATTAGTGGTCTGAGGGATTTAAAATTCTGAATTTGGTGGTCCCTGAGGTTCACAAGGTTGGGGACCCCTGCTTTAGAGTATCAATGATGTCACCTTGGGGAATAAAGCAAAGATTAAAAAAAATCAAAATTAAAGTGAAGGGGATACGTGTCCCCTAATGGTTCCTCATGGTTCTGTAATAACTATACCTGCATGGACAATTTCCAATAATGTCAGCTGCCGCTCATGAAACAGCCTCATGGCTCTTTGTCTCTGAAGCTGCAGTTGTTGACGGAGACACTCTTCTTCTCTCTGTCTTTTTAAACTTTGTAATTCCTCTTCTCTTTTAGCTCTATAAACAAGTAAAAAAACAACAACCCACTGAAAATGCTGTTTTCAACATTTAAACTGTTTCCAGTTTTAGCACAGTTTAGGGCTAAGTCATGAGAATTTCTGCCATTTGCTCTTCCACAGATCAAAGTTGCCTAGCCATTTGTAGACAGAAAGAGTTAAGGGACTTCAAACATCATGAAGTCCAGCTTCCTGCCTCTTACTATAGTGTTCCTGAGAAGTGGCCATTCAGCTCTGCTTAAACGCCTTTAAGCAATTAAGGACAATTAATTGCAATGTTATTTGTTTCTTAGTGTATTACTGACATTCACTCTTAATTGCCTGATGGAGGAAAAAAGGAAATAGATTGCCCCACAACACATAGCCAAAACAAATCCTCCCCAGAGTGGACAAAGCCATATTTTTGGGAATCTTTTTTATCTGGGGAGGTCTGGGCTATTTTTAAAGGAACGGCATTATTTTTGATTAATTTTGCAATCTCTAGGTAATTCTTGTGGGGTTTTTTTTAGGCCCCAGTTTAGTACCTATTCTAAATTCTGAATATCAAAAATAAACTCATCAGTGACTGCCTAGACTCCTGCCCTCCTTGCCCTTCCATTTTGAAGACATGGCCGTGTCTTCCTCTGGTCCCATATTATTTTATAGTACTTAATGAGGTATGCTAGTATGTGATAGTAAACCTTAGTTTACTTAGTTGAATCTAAAAGCAAGATCTACTTCAGCTGTTTTCAGCAATGGCAATTAAGCACTTCTGAGAAGAATCATATGAAGAGTAAACAAAAGCATTCTTTTAACACACACACATACACTTATGTATATGAGAGTGTCATTTTGGCATAGTGGTTAAAGTACCAGGCAAGAAACTAGGACACAGTGAGTTCTAATTCTACTTAGGGCATAAAGCCAGATGGTTGATTGTGAGCCAGTCACTCTCTATCTCGGCCCAGGAAAATTGCAAGAGCAAATTACTCTTGAAAATATTACCAAGAAAACTGCAGGGATTAGTTTAGGCAGTCCCCTGGAGTCAAGAGTGACTAAAATGCACATACATATACACAAATTATTTATTTAGCATAGAATAACAGAGTTGGAAGGGACCTTGGAGGTCTTCTAGTCCAAACTCCTGCTTAGGCAGGAAACCCTACACCACTTCTGACAAATGGTTATCCAACATCTTCTTAAAAACTTCCAGTGTTGGAGCATTCACAATTTCTGGAGGCAAGTTGTTCCACTGATTAATTGTTTTCACCATTGAATTTAATTTTGTTAGATAGCGCCCAATGTTCAAGTCTGTCAAGATCCTTCTCTATCTTAAGCCTATCTTCTGGAGTGTTGGCTCTTCTTGCTAGCTTGGTGTCGTCTGCAAATTTGATGAGTTCCCCATCTATCCCCTCATCCAAGTCATTGATGAAGATGTTGAAGAGTACTGGGCCTAAAACAGAGCCTTAGGGTACTCCACTGCATACTTCCCTCCATGTAGATGCAGTTCCATTGAGGACTACACGTTGAGTGCGATTGGTTAGCCAGTTACGAATCCATCTGATGGTGATGCTGACTAACCCATATTTTTCTACTTTATCTGGTAGTATGTTATGGTCTATTTTATCAAATGCCTTACTGAAGTCCAAATACATTATGTCGACAGTATTCCTCTGGTTTACTAATTTTGTCACTTTGTCAAAGAATGCAATGAGATTAGTCTGGCATGATCTGTTTTTGACAAATCCATGTTGGCTTTTGGTTATTACTTTATTTGCTTCTAGGTGTTCGTTGATTCGTTGCTTGATTATCTTTTCCAGAATCTTCCCTGTTATTGAGGTCAGGCTGATAGGTCTGTAGTTTCCTGGATCTATTTTTTTTCCTTTTTTGAAGATGGGAATTACATCAGCTCTTTTCCAGTCCTCTGGCAGTTCCCCGGTGCTCCATACTCCATGTATGCATGCTGGGATCAGGCAATATAATTTATACCTTATATAGTGGTATACACTACACTATATAGAGTGTAGTGTAGCAATGAAGCATGGAATTTTCATTTTGAAAATAATCTGCAGGGTTGAAAATCCATGAATGAAATCTGCCCTCTAGTGGATTCCTCAAACAAGTACCAATTAAGAACTTTTGGTATTTTTATAAATAAATCAGGGTATGGTTATAGCATAGTCCAACCACAATAAAAAAAAAACATTAACAAATAAAAATAATTGGGATATAAAGCCATAAAATAATTCCAATTCAGCACCATATCTTTACCAGAATATCATGAATGCAAAGAAAGGAATTAATCATAGTAGTATTAACAAAATTGCCTCTAGATAAGATGGGCACTATATAAATGTAATAAATAAATAAGAAATAGGAAAAATATGTAAGCCTCAGACAATGCATAAATACAGAAGGGAGTGAAGAAATTCTAATCTAATTCTTTCACTCTAATTCTTCAGAAACAAGTTTCTTCTTAGAAGATCAACACAGAGAAATTATGCCTATTGTGACTTTAAATACCGGTATAAGCTTATTCCTCCAAAGCCTCTGGATATCTCCAGATTAAAAAAAACATACACATGGAGATTTTATTCAATAAATACATACCTATGTTGATGTCCCTGGCCGGATGGGAGGTCTGGAAAATCCTCATACTGTAGCTTTACTTTCCAAGCCATTTTAACAATACAATATTGTTTTCACTTTAAAAAACCAAGAGTTTTACCTAAATTTCCTTTGCAAGATAGTTATAGCTTTTGGAAGCTGCCTTAATCTTTTTCGCGTCTGATATCCTCTCCAAGATGCTTGGATTAAACACGCTGCTTGATGCATTTTCTGAAATCAACAAATTAGCTTATTTATTTTTCAACTACTGCGTGTGGTAATTAAATGGTTGTAGATGTTAAGAATGTACATTCTCTATGAACTTTATTTGATTTGACAATTTTCTAGTCTACATTCCAACCAAGGCTGGTTTATAATCTAATTAGAAAGAGATCTGATCCAGGTTTGGAGATATGGCAAACTCCCTATGAAGAATTAAGCTTACAATTTCAGAATGCTTCTACAATAGTTCTCCTTCATATAGCCACATTCCAATTATGTGACCAGATTAGAAATTATGAAACACGTATGAATACACTGGTAAGATCTAACATGAGCTACCTCCACCATACACAGAATTCTTTCTACAAAACACACAGTATACCTGTGTCGTACCTGTGGACCACAAGAACTGGAGTTTTCTGCATCCAGCAAATCCAGCAATTGATTGAGATTCTTGTCAAATCCTTTGCCAGTCCATTGCTTGCTTAGAAGAGTATGTAGCCCTTAATAAATGAGATGTGCTAAGATAAATATGCTACTTGGTTAAGAAAAAGTGCTTGTTTATTCACCCTACAGATGTCAATTATAAATTACTAGTGGCACAGATACTAAGATAAGAGTTAGAATGTTCCACACTAAATGTACACCAGTGGCAAGAAGTAATGAAAGAGCCAAAGAAAAGCTTAATTAATTAATGGATTGATTGTACAGGACATGATAATAAAACTTCCTGCACTGAATGCAGGTGAAAGGCAGTATATATATTCATAATAAATGACTGACTGACTGACTGAATAAATATATCCATTGCTTTTTCTAGTATATGATTATGGCAATATAAAACATATATACATATTATGTCCTTCAATTATACCTGTTTTACAATACATAATGATAGATTCCTTTACAGGACTTCACCCATAATATTCACTGTTTCAAAACAATGCCCAATTAATACATTTTACAATCAATAACATGAGTGCTAAAGCTGGAGAACCAATACATGTAACAAACTGTTTGGATTACAGTTACTCCAAGGAATGTTCAATGCCAACATTTATTATTCTATAATATTTTTCAAAATCCAATTTTTTGGGACAAACCTTTGTAGCGAGCATTCACTGTGATAACAAGTTGGGCATCAGATTCTGTGATCAAAAGTAACAGTTTAACAGTTGCATTTCCTCTGGCAGGGTTGGTGGTAGAGGAAATCTTGTAAATAAGTTCATCCAGAAGGAAGTGTAGGGCCTCTTCAGTTATTTGAACTAATGCTTTACTGAGAAATCCAGAAAGAGAGGAAATCATATTGGAATAAAAATTGTGGATGGGAAATGGGGCAGGATTAGACGAACCCCAACCATATTGTAATATAAAAATACACTAAATCCTTTGAATGAGGCTCTACCAACTCAAACGTCAGGGGACTCCAATATCCATTTATTTGATGCATGTCAGGTTTCCCACCCCATCTGCCTTTTACAATTTAAAAAATGTAATAAATGAGAAGGTGGCATGTTGCAAATGAGCCCCATGAGCATCCTGTGAACAGAGAAATAATAGGTAACTGAAGCCGTCCGATGCTTCAGTTGGCAATGTTCTACACTGGCTCCCAAGAGCTACTGAGAAAAAATAATAGGAGTATCTCAAGGACAGTATTGGCAGGCACCATTTTTTTCCCAACAGATGCTCTATATCCGGCTACATCCCTGCAATAATCATTTCATGAATAGGGACGCACCTCTCTCAGCATTCATTTTGTGAAAGCCTCCACCTATGTCCAACATGCCAAACATGTCCACCAGTTAACAAAAAAATAAAGGGGGGGGGAGGAGGGTGCTAGCTTTAAACTATAGCTATAATCTTGTATCTCTTGTTTTAGAATGAAGAATATGGAATTATGAAGATGAAAAGCTAATTAACCTGGAGGAGCTATTCCTATTTTAGGATGAATTTCAAACTAATTGTTTTTAATGTTAAAAAGATACACTTTGGTATATAATTACCTATTGGTCCTTAAAATATTCTGCAAGAGTGACAGAGTCTGGGTTGTTGTTTCAGCATCATCAGTTGTCAGCAATTGCTGGAAGTGTTTATTTTGAAGCACTAGTGCAAAAACAGGAAATCTATTTCAAACAGAAGTTCAATCTATGCTAAATTTCATTTCAGGGGAGGAGAGTGGAAGCTAACAGCAACCCTCTAAATGCAGATCACAGGTGAATCAGAAACTATAATAACATTCATACCCAATGAATGTTATTCATTGGCTTGTTATTCAAGGGCTTTTCTTCCCTTACCATTTTCTACTAGATGGATGTGACCTCTACACAACCAACAGATGGCATCAGTCACTGTCCTGAAACAATGTAGAAATTCATTCCTTTTTTCATCCTTAATGAAAACATAAAGGAAAACTTATGATTAAAATTCTTGAAAAACATAAATTAAATAGTGATTATACCCTCAAGCTATACTTATTAAAAAGATATTATTCTTCTAAAACTGAGAAAGGGACTGGGATCTACTTAAGTGTCAGCATAGGCACCTTAAGAAAATAATCTTTTTCCTTCTTATTCTGAGACTGATCCAACCAGTGGTGAAATCCGAACCAGTTTGCTACCGGTTCACTGGCTGTGCATGCACCCCACATGCCAAATGTGTGCATGCACAGTGCGCACATTACGCATACTGTGTGCACGCAAGCATTCACAGTACACGCCAAAAGAAGGCTTTGGAAAGTAAGTAGAACAGCGGGGGGGGGGGATCAGCTATGGTGCGCGATTTAGCTTTGCTAGAAAGCAGTATTTCCTGCTTTCTAGCAAAGCTAAACCCTGCTGCACAGCTAATCGTCAGAAATACCAGTGCGGAGGAACCGGCAGCTTTTTTAAACTACTGGTTTGCCCGAACTGGTAGCTTTTTTTTTTTTTACTACCAGTTCGCTTTTTTTTTTCCGCTTTTAATTTTTATCACTACTGGTTTGCCCAAACCAGAGTGAACTGGTAGCATTTCACCCCTGGTTCCAACCAAGTGTAAGGTATTTCTTTGCAGGATCCAGCATGTCTCTTAGCAATAACTAATACGCAAAAGTGTACTGTACATCACAATTATCTTAAAAACATGGAATGTTGGGTATTTTTATTTTTACTGAATTTGTGACCTTTAATATGGTTGGGACATCAACTTTCATGATTCCTATTAGGAATGATACTGAGGCTGATGAGAGATGTAGTTCAACTTAGGTTGAAAGCTGATATATGACATTAAGTGTTAAGGGAGGAAGAAATGTTAATGCTAAATCAACTGGAATACTTTTATTGTGTTTTGAATTAGAAACTACATGTCTGTACAGCCATAAATTAGATGCAGTGTGAACATTTTGTGAAATCTGTTAGTGTAGTATGTATTTTTCAGGTATTAAAAATACTGCAAAGCAAATGCTGTTTTATTAGTTTCTGTTCTTTGTTTTATCAGAAACATGCAAATAAATGGACAAATACAATTGTTAGAATTTACCATATTATGTATCGATTACTCTCATCGCTTGAAAATATAAATACAGATACATTGCAAAAGGAAAAACAATACATAAAGAGACAACAGCAGAATATCTGCCTTGGCAACATTTACTGTAGCATCAGCCTACAGCCAGAGGCAGGTCTAATATTTACCACAATTCTAGGTTCTGTTACTCTGAATAAACGATTAATGAAGCTATATGTGGATGCATTTTCATAGTAACCTAAGTTCAACTATTTCCTTGTCCATATTGTCAAGCAGAGTATTATCATCCATTATCAAAAAGGGACAATGCACAGCTTTGGTAACAGTCTAGCATATAAATTATTTCTTGGTAAGTGTCACTTAGGCCAGGTATTACTGACTTACAGGGTGCAGTTTGATACAGCTTTCTACCTTTTGCTGCAACAATATCCTCTGTTCATCTGAAAGAGATTCAGACATTCTCAGAGAGAATGTGCCTTTCTTCTTCTTTTAGGCCAGGTATTAGAACAGGTGGGAACCTTCACCTACCAATATCAACATTTTTCTATGCAGGTAGTCCTCAACTTATGACCACCATTGAGTCCAAAATTTCTGTTGCTAAGGGTAAAGTAAAATTCACTTGTTAACAAGTGAAATTTGTCCCATTTTACAACCGTTATTGCCACAGTTAAGTGCATCACTGTAATAGAGTTGCTGTGAATCTGATTTTCCCATTGACTTTGCTTGTCAGAAGTTTGTAAAAGGTGATCATATGACTCCAGGACACTGCAACAGTCAAGAATATGAATATGAATATGAGCCAGTTGCCAAGCATCTGAATTTTGATCACATGACCATGGGAATGATGCAACAGTCGTGTGAAAAACTGTCCTAAGTCACTTTTTTCAGTGCCGTTGTAACTTTGAACTGTCACTAAATGAACTGTTGTAAGTCTAGGACTGCCTGTATTAGTATGTCAAGATATTACAAAATGGCTCAAATACCTTGATTGCCCGAACAAATTGTGCTTGCAAACGCCTTCCCAAAAAGAGGAGGCTGTCTACTGCAGAAGGAAGCAGTTTACTGTAAAACTCTTCACGTTCTGTTTTCACCTCAAGACCTACACAACACTGACTGAGAAGGAAAAGAAAAAAAAATCCCTCAGTAATTTGCAAATAGTATAGCCACGGGCTAATACAGAGTTATTAGAGCAGGAATACAGCTGTGTAACTGTGCAGTATTTTTACCTTAATATCTCTGCTATCTGGGCAGCAGTAGTCCATCCTCCAGGCACTTTTGTATAATCTTTCTTAAGGACTAGTAGACAGTACTGGACTAGATCATAGTAGTATAAGTCTTGTTTAATTTTCTTTGATTCATTACTTCCTGGGGATGCACTCGTTAAAATTTCTAAGAAAAAAATTTGAACTACTTAAGTTTGGATCCCTCTACAAATAACAAATACAGAGGGCTGCAAGACAGGTCAGAAGGGAGCGTAGCAAAAACACAATATCAGATAATAAATTGGAACATCTATCCATATACCACTAAAACTCTGATTTCTGTAACATTTAACATGGTGAACAGATACCGTATTTTTCGAAGTATAAGACGCACCTACCTTTTTTGGTTGTTGTTTTTTTTTAAAAGTTTTTTAAAAAATTTTTAGACAAACACACATACAAACATACTGTACAATGTCTTTTCTTTGAACAGAGTATTTGTGTTGTGGCTCCGTTACCTGAGCCTGTGTCATCGGCAGGAGAGGACTCTGAGAGTGAAGGAGAGGAGTTGGCAAGGCCTCCCTCTCCAGGACCCTCCTCTCTGGCAATGCCTTCGGTGTCCGCCGAAGAGCAAGAGATAGGGCCAGGGCCAAGCACGTCCACGCAGCCACAGGTGGACAATGATGAGAGAAATGAGTCTTGGCTGGATCCTCGGCAGCGTTGCAGAGATAAGCGCCCGCAACAGAAGAAAAGGCGTGCCAGAGATTAAGCTGAGTCACTGGACCACACCCCACAGGGTATAAAAGGGGGTGAGGTGGCCATTCAGACTCTGTGACGGACAAAACTAACTACTATCAAGTCACATTGCATCTTTGGAAACAACATTATCGGCATTGGATTTATTTTACGAACTGGACAATTCTTGACTGTGTGTATTTTGTTTGTGAGTAAAGTTCTTGGCAAGCAGCTACTGGGTTGCTGCCAAGCTTCTTATCGGAAGAATTGGTTGTCTGCCAGTTTATTTAACCCCCGGCTGTCTGTTTGTGTGCGTGTGTGAGACGGGGACAGAACAATTTGGCTGGTTCACAAATTTAAACATTGTTTAGTCATTTCAATTAAATTTACAATTTCTATATTTTCTTTTTGCCATATTTATTTCTCATCTTTTTTTAAAAAAAAACCCAATATTACCCTTCATCCTCATCTCTAATCTTAATCAAATTCAATTTTTCCCTTCTATTCTATATTATACCCCTTCCCACTGTCATCTATTTTTATATCCAACCTCACATTGGTTAATTATGTAATATTACAATTGTTTAATACAAATTCAACATTTTAATATAAATCAATTAATTATATAACTATCTTTTTTTTATATTAATCAATATGAACATGAATATTCCAATTATTTCCATGCAATCCAATTTCTTACAAATCAATTATATTTACCAATAATAAACCAAATAATTTTCCCCTCTTAAGTTACTCATTTTCACATCTTAAACTCTCTCAATAACCCACATAGTTTTGCCCATATAATTCTCCAAATCACAACTTAATCATTTCTACTTTCATCACAATATAAATCCAAATATAATCCAAATATAAATCCAAATAAACCAAAAAAATATATATAATTAAAAATATTTTAATCATTACAATTTCCCTAATTAAATTTAAAAATGTTCTAGCTGTTATCCAAGCTATAATTTAATCCTTTTTACTTTCACCACCATATACCATTAAAGGTATTTCAATTGTTACAGTTTATACTTATTCATATTTCTAAAAAAAATAAAAAAATAAAAACTTATCATTGTCTAGATTTCAAAACTACAAAGACAAATATTCCAATTATTATTCATTTCATTTTTACAATCATGATTTCCCATTTATTTCTTACTATTATTCATATTTCAATTCTAAATATTTATAACATTTTTCTCTTTCATTTCTTTTTCTTTTTCTTCCTTCCCATTTTTATTTTTGCCTTTTTCTTTTTCCTTTTTTTCTTTTGTGTTTAAAATCTTGAACTCTCCTCTTTTGCCCTAAATTTCCCATTATTTGCACCTACCTTTTTTGGTGAGGAAAAAGAAGAAAAAGTCTCTGCCTCTGCCTAATTTTGCCTTGTTGCAGCAAACAGCAAACAGCCTACTTTATTTTCGTTTTCGTTTTCATCATAGCTTGATTAGCACAAGGAAAAAAAAATCTGCTCCAGCAATCTTTGCAGCAAGCAGCAGAGCCCTGCGCAAAACAGCTGAGAGCAAATCAGCTGAGAGTTGGGAGGCCGATCTAATCAACTTGTGCTGATTAATCTATGTTGAAGCTGAAAGGAGATGTTTTTTTCTTGCTGTTTGCTTGCAAGAAAGTAACTGCTGCGAGGCACAGGCCAAAGGGTGGGGGTCAGTGGGTGGGCGGGGCAACATTTGGTGTATAAGAGGCACCTACATTTTCACCCCCTTTTAGGGGGGAAAAAGGTGCGTCTTATACTCTGAAAAATAAGGTACACCAGAGGGAAAAACCAAATGGGATGACTAACAGAGTGCACCCAAAATCTGGGACCCATAACGCACATGGAATTGAAATTTGGCAAATCTTATAAAATATTTTATGACACGAACAATATCATAAAGCAGGTTACGACATCACACAAAATGTCATAAAACATTTCCAGTGGTCAATTACTGTTTGACTGTGCTATATATGTTCAAAGGACTATTTTCAAGGCAGATACATCTCTGAATATCTCTCTGAATTTTTTAAAATATCAGAAACTTTGCAATTGTTGAAGATATTAAGAAATCTGGTAAAGAAATATCTCTGAAACAATGATCCAACAGGTCATGGATTGTCTCGTCAGTTACTAAAGTACAGGCAACCAATTGTTAGATAAAATATAAAAAGCAAGCTATGTAATTCACATAAAAAAGGTTATTTTTTATTTTAGAGAGAAAATATATTATTAAAAGTTATTTTAAAGAGAAAGAAAAAAAGAATGCAGACAAAAATCAAACTGGTGGTATAAAATGAATAAAAAAGACAGTAGAAATGTAAATAAATAAATACTGTTTAGTCAATGAGAAAATGCTTTGAACATACGGCATGTGCACAGTGTCCATAATAAAGTAATATGAGACTAATTTTGAGTTGGAATTCTGGTAATCAGAAAGTAAGACTTCCTTATTCTGCACAGCTGAAATGAACCAACTTTGGCCGTAACTTCCTTTACTGGAGAGCAGCCCTCTAGCAACTGACAGTTTCTCCAACTGAAATGATACTGTGGTTTATTCTCTGTCTCATTTTGTTCAGAGTATTTGCATAATATGCTTACCAAGATTAAAATAACCATAATTTACTAAACCTGATTTTCTAGGCTTGTGTGATACTCTGAACTATAAATACACCATTTATAGCGAGTTTGCATAGCACAGTCACAGCTAAAATATGGCTGACCAGTTTATTATGGCTCAGTGTATTGAGCCAACATGCATCTGATTTGCTAACAGATCAATAATAGTTCTTATTATAAGTCTGGTATACTTTTTCTGAGTAAAACATTTATCAAAAGATATTAGCTTTCAGGATTTGATCAAGCATGACTTTTTATAAAAATTGTTAATCAGAAAACATGCTACCAAATTCCTAACTTTTCACTAACTCCTGGCTCTCAAAGTAATCTGTATTATGTGTCCTTCATAATTGGCTCTTTTTATATAATTCATATCATACAATTTTTTGTTAGATTTAAAGATACAGAAACACATTCTAATTCTCATCCCATGATATGTAGTAGTTATGGGAGTTATGGGAGCAGCATGGCGCTCCCATGTGGCTCCCCTCCTGCGCGAGCTGCACTGGCTCCCGGTGGTCTTCCGGGTGCGCTTCAAGGTCTTAGTTACCACCTTTAGAGCGCTCCATGGCTTAGGACCGGGGTACTTACGAGACCGCCTTCTGCCACCAATAGCCTCTCACCGCCCAGTACGCTCCCATAGAGAGGGGCTTCTCAGGGTGCCATCAGCCAGTGTCGACTGGCGGCCCCCAGGGGGAGAGGCTTTTCTGTGAGGGCACCCACCATCTGGAACGAGCTCTCCCCAGAGATACAGAGGATTCCGGATCTGCGCACTTTCCACCGTGCCCTCAAAACATTCCTGTTTCAGCAGGCCGGCCTGGCCTAACTTTCCTTTTATATTGCTTTTATTATTTTGTTTTAAACTGGGATGTCTTGAATTATCTAGGACCAGAGTGTTTAGTATATTTTAATTGGTTTTTTTTTAACGTTTGTATTACATGTATTATCGTTCGCTGTTCACCGCCCTGAGTCCCTCAGGAATAGGGCAGTATATAAATTTAATAAATAAATAAATAAATAAATAAATGATTAATTAATGGGCCAAAATGTCATATGAAGCATAAAATCAGCCCATTCTACCAATTTAGAAATATATGAATACTTTCGGTTTCTTCCCCTTGGTTTCCAATCTTAGTGCCTCAAGCATTATTTTCCCCCTTTTCCTTATTTGCCTTCCAACATCTCATTTCCTGGATCACTATTACACAAAACACCAAGATTGATCATGTAAATTAAAAACACATATTAAAATCATAGCATAGCAGGCTCGGTGCAAGAGCAGGTTTTAGTTTTACCTTATGGTGCTACACCTAAGATCTCAATTTACCTTTTAACTTTAGCAGCAACACAGGAATATCCTGATCAGGACTTTCAGTAATCTGAGCAGTCAGAGACAATATTCTAGAATCCACAGGAAGTGGCTTCATTTCACATAACATTAACTACAGAAAGAAAGGAAAAAAGTCACCCAAGATCTTTAGTAAGTGATATTTTATGGCAAGTAATAGTTTAACCAATATGTAATACCGTGTTTCCCCGAAAATATGACATGTCCCAAAAATTAGGCCAAGCCTGATTTTTGGGGTCGGCATAAATATATGCCCTCCCCCCAAAATAAGCCCAAGTGAAGGGTTGAGCATGACCAGCACAGGAGGCAGCCCTTCCCTTCCCCAGTCACTTCCTGGAGGTTCAGTCCCATAATTGCTGCCCGCTGATCAGTTGAGCCAGGGAGGGCTGTGCAACTCTGTCCAGATCTCCAGAGCACCTCCACAGCTGCCGGCTTCCTTCCCCTTTTCCTGCTGATCTTTCTTTACTTTGGATCGCAGCACAGACACATCCCCAAAATGCTCCATCCAAAGACTTCAGCCTTGCAATCCTGGAAGGGGCGTCTGTGTGCGATCCCAAGAAAGAACGGTGTGTGTGTGTGTGTGTGTGTGTGTGAGAGAGAGAGAGAGAGAGAGAGAGGGAGGGAGAGGGAGAGAGAGAGATCTCCGATCCAACCTCGGAGAGTTACCTAGGGCTGGCAGCAATGTCCTCTCCATCCCCCCTCCCCTCTCACACGCACACTCTTGGCAACCGATTGAGGTAAGACTGTTCTTGAAGGGGGCGTGAGACGCGTGGGGCCTCCTGCTGCTTTTGCAGCCTCAATTGGCTGCAAACGCAGCCATGATTCTTGCCATCTCTTCTCCCCCCCAATCCTCCCCACCTGCCACACCCAAATTGTGCCCCAAAATAATAAGACCCCCTGAAAAAAAGGCCAAGCCCTTATTTTGGGGTTCAAAAATATATAAGTCAGGGTCTTATTTTTGGGGAAACATGGTAAATAGATTTCATCTAATAAAATCCACATCAGACTTCCATGGAAGATATTTTAATAGAAACTAATTTTAATATCGAATTCATACACTTTACTGTTTCTACTGTTTCTTTGAATTTGGGAGATTTAAGACTGACAATAGGATATTTTTTACCAACACATAATTTAATTATGAACATAAGAGCAATAGACACAGGCATCCATTTAGATCCACTGTTTAAAGCTGTGTTGGGCAGACTTGTAGAAGAGCATATATCAATGGGTATTAGTTTTATAAGCTATTCACTACCTCCTGAACAACAACAAACTTTAATTACTAACTGCAGGGAGAAAAAGGGGAAGAGGATTAATGCTTTTACAATTGATACTTGCGACATCTTGGATGACATCTGATAATCATCTATATGACAACATTGAACTAGACAAGCCCTGGGTGTGATCCAACAAAACTTTTATGTTCTTAAAACTGGTGTAATAAACACATCACTTCTAATACAAACTGTATTTTTCTTTCCTTGTTGAAAACGAACTACTCAACACAGGGCGCTTTATTATCTTAGATGTTTGCCTCAGTCTTCCCAAATTCAGTATGTTTCTTGAATAACCTATAGCCCTACAACATACTAGTCCTGGACCTCAATTTGCCAATTATATTTTAGTTCGCATGTTGTATGAACTTAGCTCATATGACTAGTTTAGCAGTCAGTGAATCTCATGCAGTCATACCCAGATTGGGACTACTTCTATATCCTCTCCAGAGCCAGCAAGATTAAAATATTGAGATACTGGACAGGACAGATCCAAGTTCAAATGCCCACTGACCATGAAATTCACTAAGAGATCTCTCATCAGTTTCTCTCAATCACGTGGTTGTAATGGATTCAATAATCCCCGTGTAACCCATTGGGGGGGGGGAGAATTTAAACCCCACTGCTGTACAGGTAATCCTTGATTTATGACCACAATTGAGCCCAAAATTTCTGTTGATAAGCGAGACAGTTAAGTGATTGAAATGTATTTGAATGTAAGTTAAGTGAATTTTGTCCCATTTTAAGATGTTTCTTGACTTTCTTGAACCCCTGCAGTTGTTAAGTTAGTAACACAATTTCTAAAGTGAATCTGGTTTCCCCATTGCCTTTGGTCACCAGAAGATGCATGAGCCCAGGACACTTCAACTGTCATAAATACATGCCAGTTGCCAAGCATCCAATTTTGATCACAGGACGATGGGGAAGGCTACAACCCTTGTGTGAAAAACGGTCATAAGTCACTTTCTTCAGTGCCACTGTAACTTCGAACAGTCACTAAACAAAAGGTTGTACATCAAGAACTACCTGTACACGACTGTGAGATAAGGTGGGACAAAAAAGGCAATAGCCTGAAAGTCAAGGATGTAAGGATGTGGTGGTACTTGGCCAGCGCTGAGGAATCTCAAAAGAAGCCGAACAGGTTAAATTTGGGTGAATACATAGCTACCCAAAATCCAGAGGTGAAATCCAGCAGGTTCCGACAGGTCCTGTGTGCAGCGGCAGTAAAAAAAGCCAATGCAATCCTAAATTGCATTAACAGAGGGATACAATCAAGATCAAGTGAAGTACTAATATCACTCTATAAAGCCCTAGTAAGACCACACCTAGAGTACTGCATCCAGTTTTGGTCACCACAGTATAAAAAAGATGTTGAGACTCTAGAAAAAGTGCAGAGAACAACCAGGATGATTAGGGGACTGGAGACTAAAACATATGAAGAACGGTTACAGGAACTGGGCATGGCTAGTCTAGTGAAGAGAAGGACCAGGGGAGACATGATAGCCGTGTTCCAATATTTGAGGAGCTGCCACAGAGAGGAAGGGGTCAAGCTATTTTCCAAAGCACCTGAAGGCCAGACAAGGAATAATGGATGGAAACTGATCAAGGAGAAATTCAACCTAGAAATGAGGAGGAACTTTCTGACAGTGAGAACAATCAACCAATGGAACAGAAGTTGCCTTTGGAAGTTGTGGGAGCTTCATCACTTGAGGCTTTCAAGAAAAGATTGGACTTTGAAGATGGCCAGTTTCGCGGAGATGGCGAAGATTTCAGCATATTTAAAAGATCGCTCACAAGAGACTTATGAATGGGAATGGAAAAAATGGATAATTATGTGCAGAACAAATATCAAATTAGGAAGTATCAAATAGCTTTTCATTGAAAGTATTATATAAAAATAGAAATGAATGAATTTTGAGAAGATGAAAAATTATAAGGGGGTTTGAGCGGTTCAGGTTTTATAAAAAGGGGATTTTGATGGGATTATATTCTGTGGAAGTCGGGGGGGAGGGTTAGGGGGGATCGGGGGGGGTTAGAGTGGGGAGTATGGGGCGGGGTGGGGGGGAAAAATGGGGTGAAAATGTAATTGTAAAACTTTTGCAATAAAAAAAAAGAAAGAAAAGATTGGACTTCCATTTGTCAGAAATATATAGGGTCTCCTATATTGAGTGTGGGGTTGGACTAGATGACCTATAAGGTCCCTTCCAACTCTGTTAATCTGTCTGACTGTCTGTTCTGGAGAACCAGTAGTAGAAATTTTGAGTAGTTCGGAGAACCGGCAAATACCCACCTCTGGCTGGCCCCAGAGTGGGGAGGGAATGGGGATTTTGCAATATCCTTCCCCTGGAGTGGGGTGGGAATGGGGATTTTGCAGTATCCTTCCCCTGCCACGCCCACCAAGCCACACTACGCCCACCAAGCCATGCCCACAGAACCGGTAGTTAAAAAATCTGGATTTCACCACTGCCAAAATCCCAGAATTATATAAATAGTGGCGGGGGGGAAAAAAACCAATCAAAGGAGCTAATGCTAAATCACCCTCGAACTACTGACAAAATCATAGATCACTGGGACCTGGGCTTAACTGTGAGAGAGATTGAGGTTTTTTAAAAAAGCCACTTTATAAAAGTAAACGAGAAATCAATGAAGAAAATGAAGATGAAAAAAAATGGAGAAATTAGTAATCCCGTGTCATTCTTTACAAAAGCCAGTTCACGTTATTCCCCTCCCTCCGTCCCAGCATCATTTTAGTAACTGTCCGCGTCACAAAGTGCTCATTGCGGGCACGACGTGGCCGCTCACCCTCCCCCCACCCCTCCAAAAACCCCACTCATTGAACGTCGGCATCAACCCTCTCTCACCCGCCTCTTCTCCCGACCGGAAACGTTTATGGCGCTGTTATGCCAACGGTTGTGAGATCACGAGCGCTTCCAGCCAATAGAATCGGCGCTCTCCACATCTCAGCGAGAGAGATTCGCTTTCGCCACCTCCCATTGGCGGGCCTATTCCTCGCAGTTCTCATTAGCATAACACGTCTTTCCTCCTTAGAATCCTAAAGCGCAGCGACGCGGGGGGACGGCTTTATCCGACGGCCACTGGCCAGCAGTGGGCATGACCTCCCCGGACGGTCGCAGCCAATAGGAAGAGGAGGCCGTTTCTCCTCGCGTCGCCTCTCTCTAGGCTCCCTGATCCTTCTCCGCTTCTAGAGGAAAGGAAGGCGGCGCTCGGAGCTCCTCATCCAGTGAGGAGCGAGGGTAGTCTGACACGGGGCGTGGCCTCGCTCGGCAGCCCCGCCCCTTTCCCCCCACTGGCAAGCGCGAGAGATGTACCAGGGCAGTGGAAGCAACTATTGGAGTGAGGAGGCGAGCGAGAGAGGAAGGAAACGGGAAGCGGGGGTCTCGGGATGAACGGCTCGGCTCGGGCTCTCTTCGACAGCAAGGAGCGCGTCCTGTTGCTGGGCGAGAGTTTCGAGAAGCAGCCGCGCTGCGCCTTCCACACCTTGCGCTGTGAGTCCGAAGCGGGAGCTTTAACTGGGGGTTGAAGCAGGCGGAGAAAAGGGGCGGCGGGGCGGCGGCGGCGGCGGAAAAAGTTGAGGCTTGCTGGGAAGGCTCCGCGAGTTGAGCTCCCGGCTTAGGAGCAGTGGGGACCCCTCGGCTGTTAAAGTCAACCCGTATGGCAAGAGACCGGCAAGAGAAGGTTGTGTGGTGTGTGTGTGTGTGTGTAAACTTCGGGGACGGAGACACAAAATCTGTGCCAAGGGAATCGCATTTTTCAGGACTCGTTGTTAACCCTGGTTGTTTTTAGCTCAAAAGCCTAAATTGTGCCCCTGCTGACGTTTTAGAAGCCGGGAGTCTTTCGAGGGAGAAGGGACAGTAGTGTGTGTATGTGTGTATATATACAGTACATACAAACTCACGCCCTCAACCAATACACACAGACACACCGAGTATATATATACATGTGTATGTATGTATGTATATATATATGTGTGTGTGTGTGTGTGTGTGTATATGTTTGTGTGTGTATATATGTATATATATATATACATACATACACACACATATACATACATACACACACACACACACACACACATATATATATATATATGTATGTATGTATGTATGTATGTATGTATGTATGTATGTATATATGTATATATGTATATATATATAGGTTGAGGGTGTGGATTTATACACACACACACACAAACACAGGTTAAGGGTGTGGATTTGTTTTAGAAGCAAAACTCAGACCCAGGCTGCTTTTCCCGCAGGAGGATCAAGGGGAAAGAACCAGGTTCAAGGGATGTAATTATAAAAGCAGCCCGATTTTTCCTTGGTTCGGGTATCGAGTAAAATCGCGGTAGGAAAACTCGCCTGTCATAATGGGATTAAACGTATGTATCGGTTTCATTCTGTGACTTCTCGGCTTAGTCGGTTTAAGAGGCCCTCTGCTTTTTTTGCTTTTTTTTATAAAGGGAAGAGCATTTCGAAAAACGGATAAGGGGAACCTGGTGAAGTTGACTGGGAGGTGATTGGCAGGGAAACTAAATTGGAGGGATTGTGGTGTGGCTTGGGTGGGTGGGTAGGTGGGTAGGTAAGAAAGTTTTGAGAAATAAGCTGGTTTTCCAGAGATTGCCCAACTACCTCCCTATCTCTCATAAAAGACAAGTGTTGAATAATAGTTCCTGGCTAGGTGGGCTTTTATAGGTGAGAGCATATTTCAGGTATAAATACTGGGATGTAGAACAGTGTATTTTGAATTGGATTCTTAAAAATGGTTTTGTTTATATAAGTGCTCTACTTACTTTCTTCTGTGTGCTTTTAAACATTTTAAATTCAGCTCAGAGAGGAATATAAACCAGTTATCACTACCCAAATCTTATTTTTCTATTCATAGTATAGATGGAAAAGATCCAATTTTTAGAATGCTTGTATGTATTTTGGGGTGTGACAGCGTATTTTGTACAATATAGGGCAAGTGTATTTGGCAGTGGATCCTGTTATATTTATCGCAACTGTCATTATTGTTACAGAATTGTAACCTAAAGATGTATATTTACTTTAGACTAGATCTGCTAAGCTTTTAGCTTGTAAGGCTAAGGGCTTGCAGTTTGAAAGCTGGGGATACATTTATTTAAAATTTAAGCACTCTGCAGTGTCAATAATTAACAGGACAAGTTAACAGGATCAAGGGCACATTTGACATTTTTAGATAAAAAAAATGCAACAACATCCTGGAAGTAAACAAACTAGTTTGTAATTTTTTAATCTTATAAAATACAAATATGAACTAGAGTAAAACATTTATTCAGCTCATTAAGGTGCGCACAGTATTATTTAGCAAAAGATAAACCTGACATCTAATGTCTTGACATCGCCTTTCCATAATTTAAAGCCCTGTATATGTATTGGATAGTACCCCTAATCAGTATACCTTTGGAGAGCTATAGGTTGGATCAGAGCAGTGATTAATTCCACTGGAATTAATACGCATTACCAAAATTGTAACTCCTATGTTATATGGGTGTGGGAATGTGCAGCTGAGGCATTATTTGGATTTGAAACTTGAAATATATCTTTTTCTCTTTCTGAATTTTAGTTCTTTATTTTCTGTTGAACGTGATAATTAGTTAGAAATGGAGATCTGTTTAAAATTGATTGACATGTTTTTGTAAAAGAGTGCTGCTTAGAAATGCAAAAAAAATAGTACCTTCTCTGTAGCAGTGCCTGCCCTCTGGAGTGAAGTTCTCCCTGAGGTTTGAATGCACAGATACAGAGACACACACACACACACACACACACACACCCCATAAATTTCAAAGGGCCCTAAAGACCTGGCTCTTTTCCCAGGCCTTTGTTGAGCATGATTGAACCCCCTTTTTTTCTTTTTCTTTGTTGCCATGAAGGTTTGTTATCTCTGCCATCTTTGGCCTTGTTCTATGTTGGCCTTTTTTTGTTTTAATTTTTTTAACCATTGGTAAACAGCCCAGGCACTAGGAATTGAGTGGTATAGGAACTTAATTATTAATTTATAATAAGTAGTGGATTACTCCTAAGGACTTCTGAATAAGACTAAATAAGACAGATAAGCTACTAGTAGAAAAAATTTCCATTGAATAATGTAACCTTTCCATTTATCTTGTAAGTTGATCAATATTTATGGAATCATAAATATTTATGATTTTATTCAGATGACTTCAAACCTGCATCAATTGATACATCTTGTGAAGGAAACCTTGAAGTTGGTAAAGGTGAACAGGTAACAGTAATGTTGCCAAATATTGAGGTAAGATTTTTGTATTCCTTAAAAGGGCATAGCTATATCTTAAGTGTGTTTACTTTTATGTAAGTGCATGAAGAATATAATTATCAAGGTAGACTGTGCAGATGGGCTATTTTCACCAAATTTCTATTTCTGAATCTGATCCTGAGATGCAGAATCTATATTGATGTCTTTAAAAACCAACTTTTCATTTTAATGTATATGGCTTTTCATTTCTGATTAGACAAGCTCCCCCATGGTTTGCAGCTTTTGCTAATGTCAAACATACTGAAAAATTTATTCTGTATTTTTGTAATACTTTTTTTTTCTTTTCATTGTTTACTTCTCAGTTTCTAATGGATCTTTCATCTGATTCATTCTTTAGCCAAAAACAATACCTTTTTCTTTATTTTTCTTATTTTTTTAGTCTGACTCCATTGCTCAGATGTGCAAAGCAACTTTTACTGTTTTTTTTTATGATAAGCCAGAAACCTTCAACTTTTGGGCAGTCTAATTAAGGAAAGGTGCTATGCAAATTGTGCAATTACTCCCAGTTCTTGTTCCCTACCAGTCAGAACTTCTCAAAAAGCAGGCAAGCATTTGTTACCTAATTCTCCTAGCTTCTTCCTCTTCATAAGCGAAGAACAAACATTACTTACATTTCTCCTTGTTAAGTGTGGAGTTCCTGGTTTGTTTGGCCACACCTGATAGGATGAACCAAGTGGGGAAGATCAGGTAACAGGCACAACATTATATGATAAATGAGAATATTTGTAGATCAGGGGGTTTAATACTGATGATGTTACCTATTTTGGGTAATGAACCATCTGCAAGAAAACAAGCAAGGTCAGAGAGCACCAAGGACTCCTCACAACATAATATGATTTGTGTTATTTGAGACATATGAAGCAGGCTTGATTTATTGATTTACTGAGAACATATGATGAGGAAGATTCATCTTCAATTCTGTTAAGATATCAAAATATTTTCGGTAAACAGTAAGTTAGAAAACCCCCATAATTACTCTTCTGTGATAGAACAGAACTGTAAAATTGCAGTATGTAATCTTGAAGCAAACTAATATTTTCAAAAGTTGTTTGTTGCACTATAATTTTGATAGAAAATTCAACAGTAAAAAAGGGAGTAATTCATGGCAGTAATGGCTTGCAGTTGCTGATGCAAACATAAACTTGCTTTTTCATAACTCGGGAGGGATGCTAATTAAAGAGATGGAATGAAATTCTTTGTGGTTATATAATAAAGGCCAGGAATTAAATGGGCTGGACTGTATTCAGTGTTCTGTGAAAATCCTGAAAATCGTAATTTCATTATGAAACGTGAATCCTAAGTTAGGCTTTCCTTTTTCATTTTTACAATGAAATAGAGACTCTTGAGACTATGTGTGAAATGTGAGCGCTTTTTATTATAAAATACAGAGCTCTGCCTTAAGAGAGAGAGAGAAAAAATCCTGTAGTGATACTAGTAATTCTTTTTTGATTTAAAATAGGGCTCTACTCCACCAGTAACAGTTTTCAAGGGTTCCAAGAAGCCATATCAAAAAGAATGCATCTTAATAATTAACCATGACACTGGCGAATGTAGACTAGAGAAACTTAGTAGCAATATCACAGTGAAGAAAACCAGGTGGGTAGAAAAAAATAGCCAAGTTGTTCCTTCTTAAAATGTGGTAGTTGCTTTGGGATAAAAGTTTTGATAAGCCTTGGCCTCATATGTGTTCCCTTCCCCATTTTCCAGAGTAAGTAGGACTTGCAATGCAAAAGCTGTCACTTCTGCTTCGATTTTAATATCAACCATAGCTTATGATTCAGATGTAAATTTAAATTTAGATGTAAATTGAAACTATGATTAATTGAAACTGAAAGCTGTAGCAGGAGCTTTCAGGTATCCCTTACTGTTATGCCAAACAGAGGCGAGAGCATGGAGGTTCAAAGCTCTTCTAATTTTCTTTCTTTTATACTCTACTGCATGTTCATATCACTTGTATAGTGGCTATTGAAATGTAAGGTGTTTATTTTGGAAGATTTCAATGAGAAAAGGGAATCTTTTTATTCTCTTCTGTCTTCGGACAACTCCTATTTGTTTTCTTTAACTCCATTTCTGAGCATGCTCTATCTCTTTAATATTATATACTGGAACAAATTTAACTATTTTCCTATAGAATGAGCAAGTTTCGACTTGTTTCTTTTATTAAAAACTTCAGCACATGTCCATGAAATAACTAGTCTGTAACAACTGTATTATGGGTAGTAGACATTATATTTATCCGTGTCTCAGAAGTTCGTGTATTTTGTATATTCTTAAAAAAGTGTTGGAAAAGCAAACTATTACATGTTTTTCAAGGTTTACATGTATTTTTTTTTTTTTGATGATCTGATGCAGAGGTGAAGGCAGCAGCAAGGTGCAGTCTCGTATTGAGCACCACCAGCAGCAGCTAATGAAACACACCAATAAGATGCCAAACAACCACAAATCTTCTCCACCAAAAGAAAAGGTGTCTTCACCTTCTCCTATGGATGATATTGAAAGAGGTAAGTTATAGCTATATTCCTTGAGACACTGATTGTGGAGTGACTCTCTAAATTGAAGACTTGGAGACTGAAGTTCTTTGCTTAAATTGTTCTTGAGAAGGTAAGTTGGTTGGGGTAGGGTAGCAGCTTCCGATTCAGCTGGGATTCATATGATTACGTATTCATAACAGATACCCTGCCTATATAACGTGGGAAGGTTTTTAACCTATCTTTCGATTCAATTTGCTGTCTTGTTAGGTTTACTTGTGTGTAGAGGAAGGTGCTATATAACCACACACACACACACACACACTCATACCCATATACAGGTAGTCCTCGACTTATTTCATTTAGTGACCATTTGAAGTTACAATGGCACTGAAAAAGTGACTTATGGCCATTTTTCACAATTGTGACCGTTGCAGCATCCCCATGGTCATGTGATTTGCATTCAGATGCTTGACAGCTGGTTCATATTTATGATGGTTGTAGTATCCTGGGGTCATATGATAATTTTTTATCAACTTCTGACAAGCAAAGTCAGTGGGAAAGCCAGATTCACTTAACAACGATATTACTAATCATAACTGCAGTGCTTCACTTAACAAATGTGAAGTCGTAAAAACACAAAAGTTGTAAAAGGGGGCAAAATTTCTCATGTAGCAACGTGAGAACTTCTCACGTAGCAACGTAAATTGTGATCGTAAGTTGTGGACTACCTGCATTGAAATACTGGAATCCAAATGTATTGTCTTTTAAATTATTCTTGTCTTGATCAAATAATTTAAAAATGGAAATGATTTCTTTGAATTAAATTCAGGTATTACATAGGATTACATAGTTCAGGGGAGCCAAACTGGCGGCCCAGGGGCTGGATGCATCACATGCAGGCCACGCCCACTCCAGCTCCGCGAAGAGAAAAATGTCACAATACCTCAAGTGATGGCAACATGACGTGGCAAGTTTGACACCCGTGACATAGTTTATTCATGTAGTTTTCCTGGCAGACTTACAAAAATGGTTTCCTATGATTTTTTTCAGATTATTTTTTTAAAATTTCTCAGTCTAGTGAACAGTCCCAAGATTTCCTATGGAGTATCTAGAAACTCCATAGGATCCTGTCTAGCTTTTTCAGGATCTGCCCAGGGCATCTAGGTGCTGCACTATATAGAATATATTATTGTGAATAAGCTTCAGAATTGAGGTTTGTTTCTGCTTTGCCAATCCCTTTTATGAGCAAAGATTTGGCAGGCACAAGACATGTAGAGTTCAGAGGATACTCCCTGTAGTATCCATCAGCCAGCTTGTTTTTTTAAGTGCATAGAAAAACATTTTGCAAATCTAGCACAGTAATATAGTGGACCAGAAATAGTGAAAGCCATGGAATTTACCATTGCCTATTTGATTTCCATGCTTATTGTGCATAAGAAATTCACTCTTCAGCATCCACCATAGTAAAACAATGGGCTAAGTCAGTGATGGCTAACCCTTTTCTCTTTATATGCCAAAAACGTGTGTGCCGGCACCCATAATGCAATGCACGGCCCCTTGTGCATGTGCGCACGACCTCCCCACACATGCACATATGACTCCCATGCTCCCCCGCCCCCCGCACATTAAAAAATTTAGCAACCAGTTCTCTGCCCCGTTGCTGGGTGGGCGTGGCCTACTTAGCCTGCTGCACCACAGCGGGTGAGGGAGGGCGTTTTCGGCCTCCCCAGGCTCTGGAGGCTTTCCTCAAGCCTCTGGAAGGGCGAAAACGCTTTGGGAATGAAGTGTTGGCAGAACAACTTATTGTTTTGAAACTTTGAAACAACTTATTATGAAATTCTGTGCAATTCTGTCGATTTAATTTCTTACTTGCATGCCACCTGAATCACCAGAATAGTTCTAGGTGCTTTTCTGTAATATATCTGAGTATGACCAGGTGAGTAGCTAAATAAAAATTTAAAATATGTAATGTCTTTACTGTGCTTTAGATATGGTACAGATATTTATATTTGATGAAGAATGATTAAAACACTTTAAAAGGATTTATTGCCTATGTTTAGCTATGAACTAGACATATTTACCTAATGCTCATCCATCCTCTAGATCAGGGGTGTCAAACTCAAGGCTCTGGGGCTGGAAAAACAGGCTCCTGAGCTTCGTTTTCAGCTGCCACAGCATCCTGAAACCCTCTGCCAGTGAAAACGGAGCTTGGAAAGGCCATGTGCAAAGGGTTGCAGGAGGCCGTGGAGCCTGTTTTTGCTGGCAGAGTGCTCGGGCCATCACAGGCGCCCCAGACAGGAGTGATGTCGAGCTGGTTCACCCCCTGGCCACGCCCCTCCCAGCCCCTCCGAGGTCAAACACAACCCTGATGCGGCCCTCAATGAAATCGACTTTGACACCCCTGCTGTAGATGAATTCACTATAGTAAAAGCTGTTCCCTCATATGAGAGAGAGGGAGAGGGAGAGAAGAGGGATATTCATGCCTCCTGTTTGGATTAAAATTCAATAATAATTATTGTTCATGGCTCCAAAGGTTATGAGAGCTATAGTACAGTTTTTTTTGTTATTCTGTTGCTGCACTGGTTGCAATACACTATATATATATCAGCCTTCTTGTTGATCCTTTATTCTTGCCAGCAGTAGAAATAAGCATGTGGTATAATAATACAAAACCTCATGCTACACTACACAGATATATAACTGAGTTGTTATGTCTGTTACCTGGATTCACTAGTCATGTTGATCCTGTTTATATATTCTCTTGGTCACTATCCTCATTCTTTACTTTCTTTGATAACAGTCTCTAGTTTTATTTTTATTTATTTATTAAATTTGTTTGCCACTCATATTGCTTTGAAGTGACTCTGGAAGGCTTATAACATTAAAAGCAATCAAACCATAAAAGATAAATATTTCTAAAAACAATAAAAATAGAACTAGAATCCAAGTGAAGCTGTAGTTACAGATGTGGAGTGAGGGAGCAGGATCTACTTGAGGGGGGAAGGGGGATTTTCTCTTAATTCATAAACCACCTCCAGTGTGATACTCCCCTGTTGCGGCCCCAAGCCATCTGCCAGAGCCAGGTCATCAGGCTGTATAGAAGGTCAGAAGGGTGAGAGCCGATCTCGGGCGGGGGGAGGGAGTAAGATGTTTCAAAAGGCAGGAGCCCCAGCAGAGAAGGCTCTTCTTCTGGACTCCGCCAGCCCAAATTGCCTGATTGATGGGGCCAGCAGCATGTCCCTTTTATTTATTTATTTATTTATTGCATGTATTTATATGCCGCCATTCTCCCAAAGGACTCAGGGCGGCGAACACAAGTTAAGAAACAAGTACAATAAAATCCCATTTTAAACCAAATAACTAATTAATAGTAAATAATAAAACCCGGGATCAGAGTCAGCCTATTTGTTTGAACAGCCAAGTCTTCAGGTCCCGACGGAAGGAACGGAGATCAGGAGCCGTCCGGAGCTTTTGCTGGCATAGGTGTGGTGAGGCAATCCCATTGAAAGTTTTTCCTTTCTATTAGATTATGGTTTTATTTTCACTAAGATTTTGCATGGCTACCTTGTGGTTGTCTAGATCTCGGGTTCCATTTTCTGTGGATGCTGCTTTTCAACAAAATTTGGATCATACTGAATATAATTTTGCTCCTTTGAATGGCTTGGAAGTCGAGCCATTTTTTTCCTTCCTTCCGTTGGTAATAGTAGGAATGTCATACTTACTTTACATAAAGTAAGATAGAATAAGCTTCCAGCTAAAAACCGTGGCAGATGACTAGGAAGAACTTGATTGGGTGATAAATTAAAAAATAGTAGTTTGTTGTACTGAGGGCCAGGGCATTCTTCTTAGGCAAAGTCCTTGAATACCCAGGGGAGGGGGGGAAAGCATACAGGCAGGTGTTTCTTTTGTGACTCAACTCTGACTGGAAAATCTTGTCATTTAGTTTCCTCAGTAGCTGCTTTTAAAAAAGTACCCACTTGCTGCAGGGGAGGGTGTTTAAGATTACATTAAAATGGAGAGTTTCTTTTCTAAGGTTGAATGCTTTGTTTAAGATTTTTTTTCCCTGAGTCACAAGATTCCAAAGAGATTGCCCAGCATTCTGCCAACCTGACAATTACCCAGCAGGGAAGGATCTTCCAGGAGTGGGGTGTGGTGGATAGGAATGGCAAGAGATTTGTTTTGCGTTACAAAGTGGATGGCTAGTACTGGTCAGGGCATGTGAAATGGACTCTGTTTAATAAAATCAGACAGGCAGAAAAGTATTCTTTAATGAATTAAAAATTAATCTGGAAGGCAACCTGACAGAAACCACCTAAACTAAGTAAAAGGCTGTGGACACATGCAAAATTCAAGATCTTTTGCTGCTAATGCTGAATTGTTTGGTGCTGATCTTTGGTGAGATTGTGATAGATAGATAGATAGATAGATAGATAGATAGATAGATAGATAGATATTGTCATAGAGAAAAAAGTGAATGTCTCTGATCCTTCAACCATTTTTACTCTTTGGTATTGAAGGAATGTGGTGGGTCAGTGGCTAAGATGCTGAGCGTGTCGATTGAAAGGTTGGCAGTTCAGCAGTTCGAATCCCTAGTGCCGCGTAATGGGGTGAGCTCCCGTTAATTATCCCAGCTTCTGCCAGCCTAGCAGTTCGAATGCACGTAAAAAATGCAAGTAGAAAAATAGGGACCACCTTTGGTGGGAAGGTTCCGTGCGCCTTTGGCATTTAGTCATGCCAGCCACATGACCATGAGGACGTCTTCGGACAGCACTGGCTCTTCGGCTTTGAAACGGAGATGAAAACTGTCCCCTAGAGTCAGGAACGACTAGCACATATATGCGAGGGGAACCTTTATCTTTACAGAGGTTAGAATTGGATCAGATGCTCCCAAAGCTGAAATCTCTACTCAAAGAAAAAAAAATAGATAAAAAGAGAAAATATCAGTTCTGAAAAAGGAAGAAAAACTCAATATTGAGCAGAGCTCAATATGTTTTATGATTTTCCTTAAGGAGACTCATCAATAATTAATTTCAATTCTGGCCTCTGCACAAAACTGATACTGATTATTCACAAATGCTCTTGGAAAAAAACCTGGCAAAGGGTCCCCAAACCTCTCTTTATTTGATCAATCTTGAATATTGATGTAAAGCCCTGAGGAGCCAATACAAAATATGTATGAATAAACCTGCTTTATCATGGTTTTTTAAAGTGATAGCAGTAGAAATATCATGGCAAAACGTCCCATCCCTCTATAGCCCATTAGGCAACAATTATTAGAGTTTAATCAAATGACTGTAACAATTACATCTGCTATTCTTAGTCGATCTACCTCAGTGGTGGGATTCAAAATTTTTTATTACTGGTTCTGTAGGCGTGGCTTGGTGAGCGTGGCAGGGGAAGGATACTGTAAAATCTCCATTCCCACCCCACTCCAGGAGAAGGTTACTGCAAAATCCCCATTTCCTCCCGATCAGCTGGGACTCGGGAGGCAGAGAATAGATGGGGGCGGGGCCAGTCAGGTAGTATTTACCAGTTCTTCGAACTATTCAAAATTTCCGCTACCTGTTCTTCAGAACTGTTCAGAACCTTCTGAAACCCACCTCTGATCTACCGGCACTGGGAAGGGCCAAATTGACTGGGAAAAATAAATCCTGCCGATTATATGTTCACTGTAGATCAACTTTTGACAGGATGGCACAATAGCAAACAAAACCCTATTCTAGGTTAGCAATATTCTGAGCAGGCTTCATAGATCAAATTGATTCAGTCTTATTAAGGATGAAGCAAAGTAAGGATTGATTGAGTCACAGGTTCCAAAGGTTATGAGAATGTATTTATACCATAATTTGTTATGAATTTGAACCACTGAACTGCTGACCTTTCAATTGACAAGCTCAGCGTCTTAACCACTGAGCCACCGCATCCCTCTGTACCACATAATTAATGATTTCCCATCAGGTTTGTGAACTGAACGTTGTGATTACATGTGCCTTTGTCTTACATTCTCTTTGTTTCCTTTTTTATATCATATTTTTCAGAGCTAAAAGCAGAAGCTAAAGTCATAGAGCAAATGGGCAGCTCTGATAGTTCATCGGAATCAAAGAGTTCATCCGCTTCATCAAGTAGTGAAAACAGCTCTAGTGATTCAGAAGAAGAAGGATCAAAGCTATCGCTTCCCTTGTCAATGCCACACCTGCAGCCACCACATCCCATGATGACAGTATCCCAACAGGCGTTCCCAGATGTAGATATTGGATATCGCAGAAGTCAAGAGAGCAGCGGCCGTTTGATGAGTACACTGAGTAAGTAATGAAACAAAGCATGCTATGATAGACTTGGGCATGAGGAAACCACATGCTGTTAGTTACAACTTTCCAGGCACAGATTTAAGTTACACAAAAGCAGTTTGGATTAGAAGGTGGGATAAAAGTTACATTGACCTCTCACTATGCCAAATGAAAGACTATGGTTAAAAACAATTCAGCACAGATGATATCACCTACGATTGGTTTCAGGACTTGGGGTTTTAAAACAATTTTGTCTAGAAGCATTCATAAATTTCAAAAATGATCTCTGCAGTATAGTTCACATTTCACTGCAGTAAAAATGTTTATTTTATCTCCAGGGCTGCTTTGCTAAGAACTGATTTGTATATAAGACATGACATTTTTTTCCTTTTACCTTATAACAAACCAGCCTATATCACAACCTAAAGCAAAGCAACTAGATAGATAGGAAGTATAAATGATTGTAGAATTATAGGGCAATTGTTTTTTTATATACAGTTCTCCAAAATGGAACATTTTAGGTAAAATACAAGCAAGTTGACATGTCCTAGGTAAATGGTAGACTCCTACTGTATTTTCCTGATCCAAAAATAGAGCAAAGGATTTTTCCTGCTTGATTCTGGGATATCATATATAATCAGGAACATTGGGAACATAAATTGTAGCTTAGCTGTCAAAGCCAGCCAAAAATGATGCAACCAATCATTTGTTTAGCTTGTGCTAATCTGTATGTATCTATGTATTGTATTTTTATTCAGTTACACTATTGTCGGACTTCATTATTAACTCCAGTGTTCTCTATAAATACGTCTTGGATTATATAACAATACTAATAGAGTTATTTATTTTCCTGGCAAGTCATTTAATTTTACTATGTCCGTGAGACTTTTTTTAATAAGAAGAAAATCTTGATGTTTTGAACATTGACAAAATTAAATTTTGGAAAGAAAACTGTCTTTCTTAAAACATTTCACTGTATTAACAAGGTCAATTCAGTTTACTGGAATATATTTTCCTCAACTACTTGTGAGGTAAATTGGGCTGAGAGAGGATGATTGGCCCACGGTCACCCAACTGGCTTTCATAACTAAGGCGGGACTAGAACTCATGGTTTCCCACTTTCTAGGCTGGTGCTTTAACCACTTGACCAAACAGGTCCTCAATATGAATTTGATAAGGCAAAAAATATAATAAAGCAAAAGTTAAACCAGCATTAAGTGTTGTACCTTATGATTCTTGATGAATGTATCTTTTCTTTTATGTACACCGAAAGCGTATGCACCAAGACAATTTCCTTGTGTGTCCAATCACACTTGGCCAATAAAGAATTCTATTCTATTCTATTCTATTCTATTCTATTCTATTCTATTCTATTCATATATATGGTCATTTCCTGGGCCACCTGAAAAACTATTTTTAAAAGCTTTTAGTGATAGCATAGAAAACCCAGTGAGAAGTAAAATATAAACTATGCTTTAAATAAAAGAAGCATTTAGGTATAGAAATGTGGGGTAATTAATACTAAAAATTAACTGTTTCTTTCAAATTTCTCATATGTTTAATTATATAATATTTATGAAGAAAGTTCAAGAATAGTAAACTGGCTTACTATTGCCACAAAAGGCAATATTGCATTATAAGTTATCAACAATTCTACTTCATCAACCTTATAGTGTTAACAGAGCCCAAACAAAATGCCAAATGATACAATTATTTTGTTCAAATTTCTAGCTATTCAATCATTCTCTCATGCTGTCGAAAATTTTCCTCCCAGTTATTCATCATAGCATTAAGCATGTTCAGTCCTCTTAGGCTGTTTTCTCACCTATTTGGGATGTAAAGTGAACATATAGTGCTAATCCTACCTAAATCAAAACCTTGCTGTTTCTAGGGCAAAGAAATGTATTTAAGGACACATTAATACATTTCTTTGCCCTAGAAGCAAAATGTATATGGGGCAAATTTTAAGTAAAAAAAAACATGTTTCAAATTGCTTCTGGCTCAAGTATTCATAGCCAGTATACAGAACTGATGACCCTCCAATCTTACTGATTTTATGTCACAACCTGCCATTGAAATGTTTCTAGAAAGAATTTTTTTTTTTTGCTTTAATTCTATTCTATTGAAATAAATAGAATTGCATGAAATTTCATTTATGTCCTCGGGTGGAACATATTATTTGCAAATTATACTTCTCATGTCTACATTTATGATAAAAATGGTAGTATCTTTAAAGTATATCTAAAATGTTTCTATTTTAAAGTTTAAACATTAAAACCACACTGAATACAATTAATTCTGCTTCTGGTTACCTTTTTAGGACAGAGTTGTACAGTGTCAGAAGGTGGATATCTGAATCTGATCTAAATTTATAGTCTTTAGTCTTAATTTGATTTATATACCGCTCTACTCCCGAAGGACTCAGGGCGGTGAACAGCCAAACAATAAAATACATAAATACAAAATTTAAAAAACAGAATAAAACTGAATTAAACAAATTTGGCTCAGACAGATTTAAAACACCCCAATCATTTAAAAACAGATTAAAATTTATGTATTAGAAAAGAAAAAGGGGAAAAAGATTAGGCCAGGCCCGCCTGGTGGAATAAAAAGGTCTTGAGAGTGCGGCGGAAGGTGCGCAGATCCGGGATCCTCCGTATCTCCAGGGGGAGCTCATTCCAGATAGTAGGTGCCCCCACAGAGAAGGCTCTCCCCCTGGGGGCCGCCAGTCGACATTGTTTGGCCGACGGCACCCGGAGGAGCCCCTCTCTATGAGAGCGTACCGGCCGGTGGGAGGCTATTGGTGGTAGTAGGTGGTCCCGTAAGTAACCAGGTCCTAAGCCATGGAGCGCTCTAAAGGTGGTAACCAAAACCTTGAAGCGCACCCAGAAGACCACCGGGAGCCAGTGCAGCTCGCGCAGAAGAGGTGTTACATGGGAACATCATGTTGCTCCCATTACCACCTGCGCGGCCGCACTCTGCACCAGTTGGATCCTCCGGGTGCTCCTCAAGGGGAGCCCCATGTAGAGAGTGTTACAATAGAGTTTATAAGCTGTAAATTATCTGGAATATATATGATTTTCTGAACCTTTCTCCCCAAATATTACTATATGTGTTCATAGACTTTCCCTTTTAGTTTGTAATCTTGCTCAGCATTAAGTACACCTATATGTCTGGCCAGCTACCCTTTCTTTCTCAACTGACCTACATATAAGAAAACAAACTCTATATTGCTTCTCCTAATTAGTATTTTACTAATATTGCCACCCACCAAACAGCACTATGACAAGGACAATTATTAATGCATTTGTCCATTCTATTGCATGTAGTTCCATTTCTCATACTTTTTGTGAAGGCTAAATTGCTATCGGTTGTAACTAGGTACTTTCCCTCTCAAAAAGCTGGCCTTATTTTAATTGACAAGTTCAATAAGGTGGATTAATGTTGAAAGCTATTGAAAGCCTGGTGGATCCTATGTGTTAGGATTAAAAGACACAATCAGAGATCAAGGTTTTGGTTACCACCATTAAAGCGCTCCATGGCTTAGGACCTGGGTACTTGCGGGACCGCCTACTACCACCAATAGCCTCCCACCGGCCGGTACGCTCCCATAGAGAGGGGCTCCTCCGGGTGCCGTCAGCCAAACAATGCCGACTGGTGGCCCCCAGGGGGAGAGCCTTCTCTGTGGGGGCACCTACTATCTGGAACGACTCCCCCCAGAGATACGGAGGATCCCGGATCTGCGCACCTTCTGCTGCGCTTTAAAGACCTTACTATTTCACCAGGCGGGCCTGGCCTAATTTTCTCCCTCTTTTATAAAAGATTTTTAATTTTTAAATATCTTTTAGTATTTTATACATTCAATTTTAAATTGGTTTTAAAAGTTTGGGGTTTTAAATTTGTCGGGGCCAAAATTATTTAATTTGATTTTATTCTCCTTTTAAATTTTGTATGTATGTGTTTTATTGTTTGGCTGTGCACCGCCCTGAGTCCTTCGGGAGTAGGGCGGTATAGAAATCAAATAAATAATAAATAAATAAATAAAAATCAGTGATTGGAAGTCCTGTGCCTTTATTTGTAAAAAGAAAAGCAACATATGGAGTAAAAAAGCACAGTCCCGATTCAGATTGTGCTGTTGGGTTTGATTGCTAATGCTTCTTTACTATGGTTTGTAACTTGCTGTTTTGATTTTAGGAAATGATCTCCAGTTAAGTGATTCTGGAAGTGACAGCGATGATTGAAGATGCTTTGAAGTTTTGAAGATGCATTATTTTCCTTGAAGATGAAAAGACAGTTATTTTGCACTAAATAATAAAATTAGAACCATGTTATGAACTTTGATAATGAAGTTGACTTAATTTTTATGACATGAAGTTCAGCATTCCTTATGCCATAACTTTATATGGCTTTTCTAAATGTCTGGATATTGGATATTTTAGCCAAGCCAGAGTAGCTTCTACTACCTCCTTTACTTAAAAGTTGAAACAACTAACTATTCTGTGTGACTTAAATGTGGAGGAAATATTTGTTTATGATATACGTATTTTGGATAAAACTTTTACTTGAGCAAACATGTTTATAAGTAAGAGAAAACAAATAGTTGATATCTGTTACGTTTTTATTCTTGGGAGCTAATGCTACTAAAGTACTTTCTAATCAACAGTATGGGACTATCCAATTTTATGTAATAATTGAGCTGTAATGAACACAATCTGAAAATCCAAATTAGCATACCTCATATGGGTATTGCTAAATTTCTTGTCTTTGGTAATAATGAATTAATAGCTTTAGAATCTTGGCAACTAAAGGTATATTATATAACATAAATGTGCTCTTCAAATTCTGTTAAGATCAATGAATTGCTTTTGATTGGCTGAGAAATAATAAAATATTTATCATTTCCTTAATAACTTCTGTGAATATTGGAACATTTGTGATCCCTTTGCCCTTTAAAACTGATGTAAAATAGGGGGATAATCTCTGACTTCATAATTACAAAGAAGTTACAAAGCATGCAGGCAAACATAATTCTATAATAAGTGTATGCAGACCACTCTAATATTTTACTACACTGAAGTGAAATATTTTCTTATATCTGTATCCCAACAATTTGTTTCACATATATAACCATAAAAAAATTCTAAGATAGAGGCCAGTCATTTACTATGTGTATTATTAGTGTGAATTCTAATACTTTGTGGAATAGCATGTTTATGAATCAGCAAAAAAGCTGGTTCTCAGACTAATCTGGTCTTTTGTCAAGAAGATAATTGTCACTTTCAGAAACTTTTGCCTTGCGCTAATTTAATTTTTTGTGAGCTGAATAAGCATGTTCTTAGGAGCAAAACAAGATGTGACAAGTGTGCTCAAGGACTGGCTGTGGGAATATAAATGTATTCTTAGATATTGTTAGATTCAAAATACTTTCTCAGTGCCAAGGCACAGCATTTTGGGAGCTGTTTGGCACCACAAAAGAAAGAGAACTGGAAATTTGAGGATGTTCTCAGGTTCTACCCTTTGTTCAGAACTAAAATAGCTTCTATAATGTTGATCTGTTGAATTTTTATTTCCCTTCAGCTGCATAGAAGCTACTTTATTTTGTTTTGTTAGGTGAGCACTTCTGGGTATAGTTTGCATAGTTTGAGGAGGGAGACAAACAATTGGCACCAGGTGTCATTTCGCATGAGAATTCCCCAGGTGATTTGATCTTCTCTAGCCATGTGTCTATTTCATTCATGTACAACTTACAGCCATGTGAGATCATAACCACACAAATGATTTTTCAAAGGGATAGGAAGAAGCCAAATAAAAAAATCCTTGGAAGCAAAAAATAAAATAAAAATTTCCCTCTATTTGGCAAGTCTAGCAAAAATAGCTTGACAAATTATCAATTGCTTTATAGATGTAGTTAATATAATGTAATGTAATACAATACAACACAATACAACACAACACAATAAATATAATATATAATATTACAATAAAATATATAATCTAATATATAAGTAGTCCTCAATTTACGACCACAATTGAGCCCAAAATTTATGCTGTTAAGTGAAAAATTTGTTAAGTGAGTTTTGTTAAATGAATCACTGCAGTTCTTAAGTTAGTAATATGGTTGTTAAGTGAATCTGACTCTCTCATTGACCTTGATTGTCAGAATGTTGCAAAAGGGGATCACATGACTCCAGACACTGCAACAGTTATAAATGTGAGAAAGTTGTCAAGCATCCGAATATAAATCACATAACCAATTTTCTTCACTACTGGTTTGCTATTGGGAGCGCGCAGGTGTGCTCGCTCGCTTTGCGAGTGCATGGCACTTCTCATGCGCAGAGCGTTTTTGATGATGTGCAGGCGGGCGGAGCCTCCCGCTGCTGCCGCTACCGGTTCTCCCAAACTGGAGCGAACCAGTAAACCCACCACTGACCATGGGGATGCTGCAACAGTCATAAATATGAAAAACTAAGTCCTAAGTCACTTTTTCCAGTGCCATTATAACCTTGAATAGTCACTAAATGAACTGTTGTAAGCCGAGGACTACCTGTATAATATAATATATAACATAATATTATAATGTAATGTAATACAACACAATACTATACTATACTATGCAATAAATATAATATACATAACACAACACATAATAGCTATATTTTTATTTTAGGAAATTATATGAGTCTTGAATATTGCATTCTATCAGTCCCTCCATAGAATGCCCATGTACATAGTTGTTCTCACTTAATGAAAAACCCTAGATTTCTCAGTCTTGAGATGTCATTGTCTTAGTTGGATATTGTTGTCCCATTCACCATCTTTTTACTGACAGGAAGGATTTGAATTGGTTAACGTAACAGTCCTGTAACCTGAAGCCAGGTGCAGGGGCAGAGAATACAGGCAACAGATGGAGACAACACGTAATGTTGCATGATTGTATGAAATATGTAAAGAACCTTCCCATGCATCCTCCATGGACCGGCTGCAGGCATGGCAGTTAAATTTTGCCAGTCCTTGAAGGAAATTTGAAGTAGATTCTGCAACCGAAAAGAACAAGGGTTTTGTACTTGTTCCCTCTTAGTATTGTTTCTAAAAGAGACTCTTAGATACATTTAAGCACACCAAAGTCCATGGATATGAAAGTAAACCGGGGTGGGTTCTACTTATCTTTACTACCGGTTCACAACAGGAGCACATGTGTGTGCACTTCTGCACATGTGCAGAACATCAATTATGACATCTGGGTGGGTGGGCGGAGCCTCCTGCCGCTTTTACTACCGGTTCTAAAGAACCGGACAGAACTAGGAGCAACCCACCACTGAAGTAAACCTGAAGTTCTAATGAATACAGCAGTGGATGTCATGATTACAAGAGTTGTTTGAGGTCTCCTGTTGTAACCCATCTCTGAATCCAATTAACTATTAGGAGTGTCAAAAGTGGATGAAGCATAAATTGCAGGAACAAAGTTCCTTATGCATAAAGGAAAATGAAAACTCTGTTGCTAATTTCAGTCCTTTTTTGTTCTTTAATTTTTTTTTGCATTTAACAGGATTAACAAAGTTGAACTATGTAGGATTGCTTAACTATATCAAGCTGATAAAAAATGGGAGCATGCCGTCCTTATAATAAGCAAAATGCAGTTTTCTCTAGTAGGAGGCATAACACAAATGTATTGGATGTACTATTTTTATAAGAAAGGTAGTTGTTTAAAGCCCAGAATAGCTCAGCCAGGTTCCTTAAAGCTACAAGATAATAATTGGTACCCATTAGAAAAACATTAACTTTTGCTTTGATGCACGCTAATAACATGTTTAATATTTTGACTCCTGCCCTAGGCCAACCCAAGGTAACTTTCTTGTTAGTAGATAATCTTGTTCTGTAATTCACTCTGTCATGTTTTTGAATAACAGAGTACTTCACAGCATATGTTTGCTTTAAAAGAAGACAGAATTGGTTGTTTTAAATCGGGGGGGGGGGGATGAACTTCTGGTCTTCAGGGTTAGGTGGCTCCCCAGCTATGAAATGGCCAAAGATTGCTAGGATTTTACTCCAGCACCATCTTCAGAGCAATTGAGTTAACAGGAAGTCTGCTTAATTTTTAACTGTTTGCATGCACCACATGTTATACCGGCCAGGAAGTTACTGTTTTTTAGTCTTTTATGTTGGGTTTTTTATTGTTTGTAAGCCAACCAGAGCAGGGGTGGGTTCTATTTACCTTTACTACCGGTTCACAATGGGGCCGCATGCGCAGAAGCATTCTGATGACGTTGGGGTCGGTGGGCGGAGCCACCTGCTGGTTTTACTACCGGTTCTATAGAACCAGTGTGAACTGGGTGCAACCCACCACTGATCCAGAGTCACTGAGAGTGAATGGGCAGCCATATAAATCAAATCAATCAATCAATCAATCAGTTCATGAATGCCTGTACATTGACAACACCAACCAACTGTACCTGGCTTTTGAATTAGAGTTCGAGGCCTAAATGTGTTGTTAAAATTAGATTTTCCACAACTGGAATTTAAACATACAACACGTACGGGTTACAAAGATTGAGTTTTATTAAATCAAAATATAGGAAATGTTGGTTGCTGGAAGTTTTATGTACTTTGCCTTAACAATATGCTCTTGCTGCTAATGCATCAAGAAAGATAATAAGCCCATATTATTTCTACAGGTTGTAGGATTAGTTTATTTTAGAACAACATATTCCTGTCTTCCTTTCTACCTTCCTGCCTTCTTTTCTAAAGTGAGACTTTGGTTTTTTGAATGTACTACACTGTATCAATAGCACAAGAGTCTAAAAAAGTACAATTTGAATGTTGATAAAAGATTCTCAGTCATCCAGGTAAAGTTAGTAAAATAAGTCCAGTTGCCGTGACTCAATCTACCATTCTAAATGTTTTGCCTGCCTGTAGCGTTATGAAATTGAACTGAAATGTAATTCGTGATGTCCAGATCATATACTCCTCCTTCTAATTTCTGATCTTAAATTGGTTGTGACAAGGGATACTGTCTGAAGTAGTAATTGTAATGCTTGCTTCTTCTTCTTCTAAATATCTGGTACAGTGTTTTCAAATCCAGCCTCATTTAATAATAATAATAAAAAAACCTTAAGGGATAGCCTTGTTTATAATATCTAGATTTAGTCATAGCATGGAAAAGAAGGTTTACCTTGGTTATTAACAGAAGAGAAATATAGATAGCAATAGCACTTAGACTTATATACTGCTTCACAGTGCTTTCCAGCCCTCTCTAAGCGGTTTACAGAGTCAGCATATTGCTCCCAACAACAATCTGGGTCCTCATTTTACCCATCTCAGAAGGATGGAAGGCTGAATCAACCTTGAGCCTGGTGAGAATTGAACTGCCAAGCTGCTGGTAGCTGGCAAACTGCCGGCAGCTGTTAAGTCGAGATAGTCTTGACAACCATTTGTTTAGTTGGCACTAAACAAATGGCACTGCAAAAAGTGACTGATGATTGTTTTTCATACTTATAACTGTTGCAGCATCCCCGCGGTCACATGATCAAAATTTGGATGCTTGGCAACTGGTTCATATTTATTTATTTATTTATTTTATTGAAAAGTTTTACAAAAAAGAAAAAAAAATTTTTTTCAAATATTTCCCCTTCTCCCCCCTCCCTTCCTCCCCCCTCCCCCGGACTTCCCAGAACAAAATACAGGGTAAAACAATTAACAATCATATGCTAAGCTAAGCTAACTAACTACAGATTCCTATCCCCCCTTGACACTTTAACTCGCCTTTTACTTAACTAAATATACATACTCTTAACTTTTCTATTCATTCGTAAGCTATTTGATACTTTTTAGTTCGATATTTGTTTTGAATGTAATCAATCCATCTTCTCCATTCTGATATATATCTTTCTTGTGAATGATCTTTCAAGTATGC